TGATTATATAAAACACGGAAATTCCTTTTAAAATTACTCAACACGAACAAATAAACACATTCCGGTATATAAATTAAATGAAAATAAGTGGAATTTGCACATGAAAATAAAGTATTGAATTTCAACATGAATAATTTCATTTCACTCAGAGTTTTTATGCACAATTTTTCCATGACGTTTATTTTACATAAAATGCACTTCAATGTTATTCAAAAAAAAAATCACGAAAATAACATTGAAACAGAAGCATTAATTGGATTATTTTACCATCATTATGAGCAGAAGAAAGCTTCTTTGGCTTTGTGAATTTTTTCATCCAAATAATTTTCCCATTTTATGTGCTTTGCGACTCGTTAAATTGCGAGTAAAAAATAAAAAATCCCTCCTCCAACGTAAATCGTCGCAAATTGGCGAAAAATTATTCTGTCTCCGGCAAAGAAGATGGCCGAAAACGACAGAAAAAATACGCTGCAAATTATGAAAAGAGCTTCCTTACGATGGCGTGCAGAATGAATGAAAAACGAGTTGGTAAATTGCATTTTTTTTGCATTGAGGTGAGCGCAATTGAATTCATTAAGAGTCTGTACAGAGTTTTCACCACAATGCCACCCCGAAAAGAAAATATAACTCGATGGGATGTAAATTCATTTTTCGCGTCATTTATTTGCTGATTCTTGCCATTTTCACCCTCTATTTTTGCTCACGTCTGTGTGAATGTGAGGTGGAAATGCTTTGGTTTTTCGGCTCAAAAAGGGGAGAAATTCATTGATTTTCCCGACTCATTCTGGGGGCTTCACGCGAGTGAAAAACACTTTGGCTGGCGATGTGAATTGAGTGCATTACGCGATGTATCGCGGTGAAAATTGCAAGTCGTTCAGCATGATATGATTTATTTCCCATGCTAGGAAATTCAATAAAGTCTCTCATCTCATTCTGGGAGTCAATGCCAGCGCCTCCGGAATAGAATTCTCAGAACATCTCCATAACATGGCATCTGAATAAATTCTGCGTGCGCTCTTTCTTCCTCCCACGATGGCAATCTCAAATTGAAATTGTTTCTGATATCTCTCTGCCATATCCTTCTATTTTCGTCACACAATTCTCTGCTCTCGCCATCGAAGGCTCCTTCCTCTGTCGCCGTGGATAAAATAATGAAGTGAGTGTTGTGACTGACTTTTATGTTTATCAGAGCGAAATGGTGAACGTGGTTCCTTTTTCCAGGCCTGAGCGAGGCGCCGACACACGAGAAGCTATATTGTGGTTTTTCTCGTGAAATATAAATGCACATGACGTCAAAGATAGGCCGAAAAAGATGAGACGCAGGCTGAATATTATTTCAACCGCTGAAGCCATTAAATTTTATTCGACAACTGGGTGGATTTGCGAAGCGTATTTCGACGGATAGTCACTGTTGTGTTGAGGAAATATGCTCTGAATTCGCTTGTTTTACTCGCTTTTCACCTCTCCTCACCTGAACGCCATTCAATTATTCGTTTTTGCGTGCTTTTCATCTTCGCGCACTCTTCAGGCTTCAGCACTGACAACTATAAACACTCAAGACGCCATTAGACAACCGAGAAACAAGAAATGCAACTTCAATTGCAAGAAATGCAAAAAAAATTCTCATTTATTGACAGAATAAAATTTTTACTTAAGAACGTAAAACATAATCAGAAAGAATTCAATTCAGATTTCAATAATGGCTATTTTAAGGTTTTTTCCTCCCAGTTTTGAGGTAAAATCTTGAATTTTGAGCTTAAATCAAGACAAGACTGTCTAAATATTTAGCAATTTATCACGAATATCTGAATTTTCCCTGTGAGTTCTACTAAGATTGTTCAACTATTGAGTAAGAACATTGTGGAGTGTCAATAAAATGGGAAAGTAATGAAAAAAGGCGAGAATTTACGTGGATTTTCTTAGAAAAAACCCGTCTTTAGACTCAAGATGTCAGTGATTTCACAAAGAAACAAACTCAAGGCGAATTTTTGTATAAAAAATGCGTCTCTTATATCATTTTCCATTTCACAGAGAATAACAATTTTATTGCCCCATGTGTTTCAAAGTACGAATTCCTTGCATATTTAACCAATCCTCAGTGAACTTTCTTCTGCTTAGAAACTTTGCTTGACTTTCAACACTGTTTTTCTGCTTCTTTCTATCCACCTTGATTTGCCATTCTTTCCCCATATCTTTCTACAAATAAAAGATGGGAGAAATGTTTTCAAAGAAAAAGATTCTTCGTCACTCCTGTCTTTGTTCGCAAAGGAGTTCCGCTTTTCTCCTCCCCCACAGGAAAGTTGTCGGGCGAAATTGTGAATTTTGACGACAGTGGCAAATAAATCATTTCCATTTCCGCGATGTGAAAGATTAAATTCGGCGCCAAGGCACTTGGAAAGTGTGTGTGTGTCAATTGTGAGCCAAAATGCTACACTATCTAAATGGCTTATCACATCCTGTCGACACGTGATGCTGGGATTTGTGCATTTTGCCGAAATATCGTTACATTGCGACAAAATACTTCCTTGTCATCGTAAATCGCAACATTTTCCGGATGTTTGCACAATTAATTTGCCCTTTGCCCATATTTCTACACACACACACACACATGAATTATGCGAAATTGCGAGCTTGCATTCCGAATGCGACACCGTGTGCTGTGAATTTCTTATCGATGTTGCATAACTGACACACAATCAAGATAAGTGTGGTAACAAATCCACACCGAAGTGACGGCGAAAATATGTGAGTTATTAGGAGAATAGTGGCTCATATTGGATTCTATAGAGACGCTTTACCGCCAGAAGATGGCAGGCATCATGGCGCCACCTGCCATCTTTGAGGTCACTTCCTGGCAAAGGGCATCCGTCCTTTCTAAAAATACCACCACCGATGCGAAGGGAAGAATGGAGCAGAGAAATTCTTATCAAAGTTGAAAATAATTTCCGCCACAGCTTTGTGTGTATTTCTCAAGAGTGAGCGAATGACTGCACGTCAAAATATGACGGATATTGTCATTCTATATCACTACAGCTATGTGTAGGATATATACACATGAGCGTGGGTGTTTAAAGTGCAAATAGTGCTGAAATATAGGCCAATTATCCATCCATAGCGTGCACAACAATCGATCGAATGGGCGAAAAAAGAGTGGCAGAAAATGTGATAAAATTTGTCACACAGTAGCAAATTGCTAATCAGAGCGTAAATTCAGCACATTTTATCGTCCACCCTCGTCAGTAGCATGTGTACAAACATAGCTGGCCGCTACATATGTACATAACATCTACTTTTGGGTTCTGATCACTGTCTGGGCGCGTGTGTATGCCAATGAGGCGTCAATGCATCGTTCCATCGATTGCCAGGGCCTCCAAAGAGTGTGTCAAGGCGAAAGCATTGGCTATTTTGACACCCTTATCGCACGTCGTCCAATTCTCCCCAATATTCTCTCTCTGAGAATATTTGGAAACGAGAAAAGACACACCAAGAAAATCCACTGATAAAGCCTTTTCCCTTCGACGCAATTTATTCCCCACAGATTTCCATCATGGCGATTGCCACGATGAGTTAATTGATTTAATTCTGAATGCGTGATGATATATTTGTCAATTTTCATTATCAGATTTGTGCTCATTAAGCCTGCCAACTGACAGTGAATTTATTGGTTGATTGCAATATCCATCAGTGAAATAAATCGCCAACGCACTGAAAAAACTTTATGACAACGAGTAACATAATTATTGCAATTTTCTATATGAATCTCTAAGATTTGAAAATGATATCAAATTCGCTCTTTACATACAATATTGTTATTTTTATATAGTAAAATTTCCCATGCTTTTCTGGGAATTGTCACCATATCGTTATGGCAAATCCATCGAAATCCCACACAATACAGAAGATATTCCCATTAAATTTAAAAAAAAAGTGACCACAATAATGGAAAAATTTGGGACGCATCGCAATTATTCCCAAAATTATAGTAACTTTAGCCATTTATTTTGTTCAGTGCACCAATTAGGCGTCCTTCGTGGAACATTTTGCCACTATGTGTGTGGTTAATCCATATCTAATTGGGACACTCGTGTGGTGAAATATTTGACTAAATTGACGTGATAGATTGAAGTGGGATGGATTAAATTAGGGGGAAATTGAATTGGGTGTGTTTCGCGCCTTAATAATTGCGCACAATTTATGACCAAATCCCTTAAACATCCCCGATCAATATGATGAGATTTTCAGGTTCCATTACTTCTGCTTGACGAAATACATTCCGTGTTTTGATCCACTGATTTCAAAATGCCCTCCGATTCAACATATAGTTTCATGCCAGCTCATATTTACCCATGAAAATATCCTCTTCACATAATTTCACCATTGATAGCATTCCCAAATTGCTTTTCACTTCACAGATTTCTAATTACATTTCTCTCCATCATGGCAATACGAGCAGCAGCCCAACAATTTCCCTTTCTTTGTCACTCAAGCGTCATGTTAGTCATGTTGAAGTGCTTTAAGTTCCCACGCCAGCCACAAAATGCAGGACGACAGAGAGAGAGAAATATCCAGAGGCTTGACCCCAAAAGCTCCCACGTGAAGAGTGACCGCAGTGAGTGAAACCTCACTCACGCTGGTATTTGCGGAGAGTGTGAAAAATTGTGCAATAACATTTTCTCTTTCTCACCCAACTAATTCCTCCACCCTGAGACTGTTGACAGGGTGGAAAAATGACCCCCGAAAAAGCACACCGTCATAAAAATCCTGCTGTGTTTTCCTCCCTCGACACATCATGAATGTTTGCCCATGGCTTGGCGAGTGTCTCGCGCCAAGAGACATCATGTAGAAAGAAATGGGGTGGCACTCAAAGTTTCTTCTCCACCCTCGAGTAAATAAAAAATGCAGTGCTGAGCAAAAGTTTTCTCATTGGACTTCGCGAGTCAGCAGAAATTTGTTGCAATTTGTGCGACCGGGATTAGGGTGAGAAAAAGGCGCGCACTAACCTTTGTCATTGGGATCGAATTCCGCCTCGAGCTCCTGCTTGGTGGGCTCTGGCTCGGTTTTGGACTCTTCCCGTGCACCATTGACGGCAGTGGCGTCTCCCTGTTTCATGGTGGCTCTCACTTTGTGTCCACGAAAAGCTGCTTGAATCCTTGTGGCCGCTTCCTCTGCAAAGACAGATAAATTACCACTCTTATTCGCCGCACAGCATCCGATTGCAATCGCCCAATGACTAATGAGACACACTCTGGGGGCATCTTGTGTATTATCTCTGTATAGCAGAAAAATCGTGCGCACGAGAAAAACTGCATAAATTTGTGTCACCCGCGGCGAAATAAATTGCGAGTAAATAAAATTCTCTGAGGTAATTTCAATATTTATCATTGACCAAAATTCACCCTCATCCTCGGACGTTCTCCTTTTCATTTGGGGTGGCCAGCAGAAATTGTGTGTAGCAAGTTTTGCCGCGCCGTGTGAATATCAAATGAGTTGAGAGTGTTTGAGGGCTAAAAATGAAACTTTTCTCACCCCGCCGCAGAAAGTGTGTGGTTTTTCCAAGCCGGATTTATGTCTCAGATTGACGAAATTGCCCTTTTGTTGTGGCTTTTTTTAAGTGTTTCCCTCCCATCTTGAATGGTGGAAAACCCTTGTTTTCCACCATTCTTCCGACCAGCAATTGGCCCCAGTGGAGGCGCCTGGTGAAAGCACACAATTCAACTGATTTGAAGCGTCCTTTCTTCACCAGCACAAGACGGAAAATTTATGATTCTTCGTGAGGAACAATACGAATGTTTATTTATTCCAATCTCTTTTTGTCTAAAACAACACGAGAAATTGTGTTTGAAGGCTTTCACTGTGTTGAAAATTTGTGTAACCTTTTCAAAATTGAAGGCTAAATGCCAATCAGGGTGAAAAATAAAGTTTTTCCATGCCAAATTGGTGTCTATTGTGTGCTTTTCATGCATGGCAATTTGTGTAGAAAAAAAAATCACTCTATTTATGGAGATAAAACTATTTTTGTGAATCTTTGCAACTTGGCAACGAGATAAATGCAAAAACACATCAAAATCATGTGAAAATAGAGGCAATTTCTATGGAATTAACAAAAAAAAGCTTGTTCGAATGGCTAATTCAAAAACCCACCCAATTAATGCTGATGATTTCTCGAATTTCCATCTCTAATAGAGCGCTTAATTGTGGTTTGATCAATAACACCTCCTGTTTATGATTAAATGATTTGCCAACAGCCAAAGAGAGCGCAAATTCGCCGAAAATCCGCTCACGTACAATGGCGATAAAGCTCACCAAATGATTATCCTCTTGTTTTTCATGGCATTAACATCATCCGTCTGAGGCGAAAGGAAGATTAATAGGCTGTGCGCTCGTCGCAATTGCTGCACATTTGCCGCCTAAAATGTGGGCGGCATGGTTAAATGAACCAAATTAGGAGTCGCTCGCGCATAAATGCGAGCAATTCTCATGTGGCTCCTCTTTTTTTTCTATATCAAACACCACCCAAGCTCCGCCAAGGCCCAGAGCTTTCTAAGCCCAGAGAACTATGAGAGGACAGGAGAAAAAAAACAACAAGCCAAGGGACGAAAAAAAATGCTGTAAGCCAAAGAAAAACACATAAATTATTAACATCGCGACAAAAGCATGGACTCGACGCTCAGCAGGGCGGTGGGAATCCTTCTGAGACACCCATTCGAGGTCGGTCAACAATTTTCTATGACAAGACATACCAATTTATTTCATGGGAATGCCAAAAGGAGGGGCAAAAAGGCGGGAAAGTGACAAAAAGTACTTCACATTCGTGGATATTTTCTCACACTTTGCAAGCGACTTCTTCCATTCCCACTATTTGTGCGAAAATTTATATTCACAGCCATTCAGTACATAAAGCACCCCATTGAGAGGCGAGAATTAGGCCTATTTCACACCAAAGATGGGTGGATAAATTACAATTTGCAGTAGAGAATGAAATGTGGGTGAAAATTACGCTCCAAAACCACTCCAATTTGTGCTGATACGATCACTAAACATCTTTTTTTTTTAGGCCTTCTTTGGAGCTTTCAAAGCCTTCTCAAAGACATTAAAGAAATTCATTTGGTTACACTGTCAACTTTTCCCGTGGTTTTGTCAACAATATATAAGCTTTCCATGCAGCGCACGTGAAATCATAATGAATTTTCCACGCTGAAAATTAACAGGAAATTTGTATGTAAATTTTAACCACCCTTCGAAAATTCACCTCAGTCTTCGGCTGCTGAAGTGTGTACTAAAGATGTGTTTTCCCTCATCTTTCCCGCACTGAGAAATCCGCGCGAGTGCTTTCCGGAAGGCGGAGGGGCGGGAAATTTTCAATTTTGTCAAAGAGATCATCCACTTCAGCCCTTAAGACAGGGTGTTATTGTAAATTTGCGCTGAAGCTTCTGTCATTCAGTCGCCAAAAATCACATAGTCAATTTCAATTTGCATATTATCGATGGAAATATTATACATCGAATTTTCTATATGTTGAACAGCACAAAAGAGATTCGTGTGCTGAGCTTTTCTTGTGCTTTTATCATATATAATTCACTTTAAGCTTGCTGATCGAGAGCTATACGTTTGATTGCTGGTGCAGAATCATCTCCTCTTACACAGTTTAAGGTTTCGAGATATCGCTTTGAGGCTAATTCAATTCCAAGTCATGCCACCGAAGAATTTCTCTCAATTCAAACCCAAACAGAAAATGCATCTCTGACTTTTTGCTGAATTGAAGTGAATTTTCTCAATGCCGGAGAATGCTTGTCAGCAATTTATGATGAAAAATTTTATTCATCCGTGATTTAATTCAGTGAAAAAGGACACGACACTCCTTATGACATCTAAAGAATTTCAATAAAGCGACGCGTCGCCATCCAAATGTCTTTGTCGTTCATCAACACAGAGGGATTTGACGCGCTCACATAAATCATGCTCACGGTGTTGTAGATCAAAAGTTTCCATTCTGGACGGATCAAAATTCACATCGAGAGATTATGTGGAAAATCCTTCTTGGTCCATTGTTCGCTTGCTCTTTTTCCAAGGTGCGCGGCAAGCAGTGGCTGAGAGTTCTTCTGCCGCAAAAGCACCACCTTGAGAAAATTAATCTCATTCTCACGCCCATCTCTCGACATTTTCATTAATGCGAAGAGCTTTTTCACCTCTCTCTCAAGAATATGTATTAATTTCTAAATTACATTTTCCTCCTTTCGCCAGCGGCCATACAAAAGCTGCTGCTTTTCTTGTCTGGGGAGGTGAAAAACATAAATTGTGGCAATTTATTGTGTGTGTTTGTGTCTCCCTCGGCAGGAGATTCCATCGTGTCAAAATGGAAAATTGCGAATGAAGATTAATAGAGAGGTATTTGCTATGACAAGAGCTGGGCGAGGAGAGAATCCTGACGTCACCTGGACTGGAAAAGGGCTTGGGAAAATCATGGTGAAACGCGGCGTGATGATTGATTGACGCAATGGTGACTTTGAAAAGTTCTCATTATCAGTTTGAGGGATGTTTTTATCACGATTCTCGCACGCGCTTTTCCTTTTCACCATCCATCGACTCCCAATTTAATCACCATGAGTTGGTTTAATCCGCACACATTCACTCTTCACCCAACCTTGATTCACTTCTAAAGGAAGCCCCGCAACGTCAGATCATTTCCCCAGGATTAACAGTCGAACGCCAACCTGTATTTCCCCGTGAAAATTCTATTGAAGGCAAATATTTGTGATCACTTTCAACGCCCCACTTAAGTATGTGGAAAGAAGCGTGAATTGAATTTTCACACTTAAGAGGCAAATTCGCACAATATCCGTGTGGAAAATGGGCTTTTCCACAAGGCAAAATCTTCTCCCTTAATTGCAATTAATTTGCTCCGAGGCGAAGCTCTTTGTACACATCATCGATTTTCCTCTCTGAGCCCAAAACGTGCGGCAAAGTAATCCCAAAAATGCCCCGAAGCGATCCTGATTAATAATTCTCACAAATACCTTGTATTACAATATACCCAGGTGTGTATCAATTAAAAATGATGGTCGAAGGCGAGGATGATTGGGATTGTTTCCTCTTCGGCCTCATCTATTATTCAGTGCACTTCTTTTCGGTCGAGAAGCCAATTCGAGTGTGAATTTCCCACGGGACCGTGAATCAAGAGGGTCTTCAATTGAGATTTGTGTACAAATATTGGTCAAATTTGACACCTAATAATTTTCACTTATTTATAGACTAAATTGCCAGTGATTAATTCGGTAATTCAATTCGATCGTTGTTGATTAAATATGCAAAAATGTTATAGTTATTCACGCGTGTCCCATTGAAGTGTATTCAACGAATTCAATAATGATTTTATTAATATATTCTATGCCTGCATAAATCATTGCCTGATTGCGTCAATTTTGTATTGTTATTTCAATTCTATATTCTGATAAAGCACTTAAAAAACAGAAACTTTGCTTCAAAGTCATATTTTTGATAGAAAATACATTAATGTTTATGTGCTTTTTTGAGAAAAACACATAAAAACACCCAAAATATTACACAAAAATTATTACAAAGACATAAACGATAAAGTTTATTCCTGCATCATTTTCTAATGTTACTTTTGAGAAAATGAGCTCAAGTGTTCAAAAGTAGAGAATAATCTCATGATTCGATTTACAAAGACTCAACTAATTGTGACATCTTTATCTCCCAAATCTTCCCAATGCGATTTCTCAGCCGCACAAAGCTTGAGAGCTTTTCATGGTTATTCAAGCATCATTCGCCTGAATTTCACATGATTGATCAAGTTCTTCTCATTGTTCCCGACTTTCCCAGATATATTCTGCAAGGAAGTGAAATTTCCCGTTGAGTTTCAAGTCACTTGTGGCCAATTAAACACTCTAAATAGTTCAGTGCTGGATTGCTGGAAATAGACGAAGAATTCTCTCCCAATTGTGACTTATTCAAACAACCTAAAGGACTTGAGAACTTTTCGTCATAGGCTTTCATTGCAATGCTTTCAAATTGAATGAATGCTCCTTCGAAGAGTCACTCTCACATTGAGTTGAGCGTCCAAAATTCACCCCAAACCAGCGACAGCTATGCACACTTGCCAGATGGAATTGCTGCAGGCAACCCACCCTCAATTAGAGGTAGTGTCCTTCCACCCCCATCAATTGCTGCGCCTCCAACTTCTCGCCCGTGTCCTCGGGTAGTATTACTTGTTTATTCAACATCGAACGTGAGCGAATGGATTCGAGGAATGGAATTGCTTTTGCCTCTATGTTTTTCTTCTTCCGCCCTTCTCAAAAGGTAAATCACTTTTGGCATCACGTCGCGAGTATTTTCTGGTTTTGGGTGGGAAATGAGGTGACTTCCTTCACCCGTTGGAATCCCCAACAAGAGTCATGATATGTTAGTGTTTTGCTCCAGTGAGCGGAACAAATTCAATTTGCAGAAGAGCGAAGTCTTGTCAGTTGCAACTCACCTCTTTTCAGCCTCCCTGCTGCTCAAAGTCAATTAACTTATGAGCACCCAAGCTATCCGAACTTTGTACACTCTGTCTCGCGATGGAGATTCTTTCCTGGTGCTTCAGCCCAAAAAACGGAAGCGCACTCACTCTCGAAACACGTGCAGATCACACGGAGTCACTGAGGGATGTGATAACACTTTGGCCGCGGAGAAAACAGTGCGCTTATCCCACTTTGCCGCCCCTTCTCATTCATGCGCCCCCCTTTCCGCAACGCGCGCACCACACAGAGGAGAACCTCCCCGCGGAAAACCACCCTCTGAGCAACTCCGCTTTTCCCTCCACTTGCATCCACCAGAGCTTCTCAATTCCCACGCGCGACGGCCAAAAGTGCACTCAAAGCAAAGCGCCAATCGTATGCAAATCCCTTGGCACGTAGCGATTTGCAGGTGGACTTGATATCTCCATTTTCCCTTCAAGTGTCACGGCAATTGATGTAAATGGCAGGATATTTTGTACATAGCAAGCACGCGGCGCAATTGATTTATCAATATGCACATATCGCAGGTGATTTTGCCTTGAAGCACCGCGGTGGAAATGCCACGATGAGAATTTTCCAACATTGTCAAAAGATTCCACCCTTTCTAACCCTGAGCTTCACGCCAGAATTATGTATGCGATGGAGATGTGAGCCGAAGAGGCGATAAAAGGGCAGAAATAAGAACAAAAATTATGAGTTTTCTTGTCTGTAAAAGCAGATTTTTCATTTCTCGCTCTGTTAATTCGTCTTTGTTTGTTTCTAATAGCGGAAAGAATCAACGACTCTAATTGTTGATCTAAGAAAAATATGCTTTAATTTGTAGATTTAACAGATTAATTGATTAATAATTAGTCAGGAAAAAATTCTATTTTCAATTTTTCTGGAATCTTTGAGTGTTTTTAAGTTAATTCACCGCTTTGACTCACACTTCAGTGCGGAATGTCTCAAAATAGTATCAAAACGCTAAAATTGCATTTTCCCCAAGCCGAAAAATGTGGCAGAAATTTATGACGGAGTGAAAATTAGTTATCCAATATTGACGAGAGAGAATTCATGCGAAGAGCTTTTAGGTAAGAAATTCACCCAATAAATATGGAAATGGTGAAAATCGATTTGAATGTGGGCGAAAAAAAGCGTTCCCAACATGAGAACGAAGGAGTGAAATAAATTCGGAATTGCATCCTTGCGGCTTTAGATTGTCAAAAGAAAGTCGACCATGAATGGCAATGATGGCAAAAGTTGGGGCGCACCAGAAGCATTTTCCACGTCCCTCTTGGCTTCATTTCCCCCCCCCCCCTCCCCCGCAATTTGTGAAACATTTTATATTTATCGTGCTGTACAGCAAAGTGAAATATTGTCAATATTGATTTACGATACAACCAATACACTCTCTACCAATTCTTTACCAGCTTACATGATATTTATACACTCTTTCACACTCTGCCGCCGCTTCATGCCATGGCAATGGCACAACATTGTTCTTTGATAGGGAAAATCGCTCTTCTCGATCGTGGGAATATATTTGCTAAGCTCTGTTATATCGCAGAAATCTCTCTTCCTCCTCTTTTGGGCAGGAAAATGTCGCGTAAATGCTCAATCGGACATTCATTTAGACTCACTCGGGTTATCAATAGTTTTCCCATTGTGACGCCAAATTCGCAAAATACACAAAGACAAGAAGTCGAGAAACTTTCCTCGGTTATCGCAAAGAAAGTTTTTTTTTCTCTCTCTCTCTCTCCGTCTTCTGAGCAAATTTATCCATTGAGTTCAAGGCGAAAATGATGAGGAGCAGAGAAAGAGGGAAAAATTTATATACAAAACTTGAATTTACTTCATCCTCAATTTCCCCAATGAATTTGACTTTCTTGGCATTTCTTCTTCGCACATCGAGAGCATACCATGAGATGAATATTATGAGAAAAGTTCTCCAGAGTTTATTTGGAGATATTTCGCATAATAAAATGCTTTTTCTCATATCAAATACGTATGTATGAATTTTCAAACATTTTCAGCTCCTTTTATGGGAAATATAAAATCAATTTTGCCGCTCATTCCGGTGCTCTTGACGTCACTTAATTTGAGCAAAAGCTCCTCTTTTACTCTCTGACCACAGATACAATATTAATAATAATAAATCACATTTCCCTTCATTCGGGGGAAAATAAAATCTGTTTGATGTGAGATCAGCCTTTGAGTAAATTTAACAAATTTTGATGTTTGTAAATTGGAGTGATAAATTCAAATATCCCTTATAAATAATTCCACCTGTTAAAATAAATCAATCACTCTCCAGTATAATGACCACTGTGGATGAATATTTTATGGCATTTTAACACATTTATCAATAACTGTGTGGAAATATACTCTCACACTCTTTTCCATTCACAATGTGTTATAGTCTTGTTTTAATTGCGAAATACCAAAATGTGAGTGGCAATTATAGAAAATTAAATTCCTCAACTTGATGTAATGCTCGGGGTTCAACACAATTGCCATGTATATTTTTGCCTTAGCTGTTTTTCGCCTTCAACATTGTTGTGTTACAACAGGAGGAAAAAAAGCACCCCATTCGGCGCTCTGTGTCTGTCTCTGGCCGAAAAGTGAACTTCCATAAAACTTCCCCGTGGCTTTTGCTTCTTTTTGCACGGCAATTTCGCCCCACAAAATGACTCTGAATTGCAATTAATTGCAATGTGGGATGTCATGTGAAGCTTGTACACTTTTTATCCTCGCTGGCGGAAGCACTGAATGGGAGGAAGAGTGCTCAAGGATGCAAAATGCCACCAATTCCCGAGAGCTTCATCGTGAAAGCCAGTGCGCGCTTTCATGAAAGGTGTGAAGCTTTTTTGCCTCTTCTTCTCAACTTGCTTCAAATGGAGAAATTCTCCAGCTTAAAATTATCACTTGTGAACCTGCTTCAGCATAAGTTAATGGAAATATTCATAATTTATATGGTTTGAGAAATTTCGACGCTGGGTTATTAGCCTCACATTTGCATATTAGAAGAATGGCATTAACTCACTGAGCATCGTTGAATTCAGCAAACAGGTTCTGTCATCTGTATTCTCGCAATAATGCATTTTCTCAGCTTCAAGACTCAGTTTGACTTCAACTCTCAAAGAACAAACATCCCGAAATGGAGTGTTTTCACTCTTCGTGTCCAAATCTGAGCGCAGGAGCTGCGAATCAGTATTTGTCGCTGCTCTTCAACTATCTCAGCATCGCTCAATGTTCGCTCGCGACCCCGGAAATTTGGCCCAGAGATTTCGGAGACTTCGCCATTAGAAAAGGTAAACTTCCGAACAATTCAACTGACACAGAATTAACACTGGATCGCGTTTAGGGTTCGAGGAGTACGATTTCATCGTCGTGGGCGCAGGATCTGCAGGATCGGTCGTTGCCAATCGTCTGAGCGAGAATCCGGAATGGAACGTTCTTCTCCTTGAAGCTGGCGGCGATCCTCCGATTGAATCAGCGGTAAGAATGCTTTAACAATTTGTGCTGACGGAGAGAGGGCGCGCAGAGTGGCGATTGGGTGAATGAGTAACAGGAAAAGCAAAATGGCGCACAGTGATCGGGTGAACCGGGTGAATAGTGTGTGAGACGGTGAATAGCGGGAAAATAATTGCAAATATCCTTGCAGATACCGGCATTTTGGACAACAACGATAAACACAAAGTATGACTGGCAATTCCAAGCTGAACAATCAGACTTATATGGTCTCTATATCGTTAACGGCGGAGCTTGGGCGAGAGGAAAAATGCTTGGTGGTTCAAGTTCAATGAATAACATGGCGTACATAAGAGGAAATGAAGAGAACTTCAACGCATGGGAAGCGCTCGGGAATCCAACTTGGGAATGGAAAAACGTCTTGGAGTACTTCAAGAAATCAGAAAACAATCATGACTTTAGTGGATACTATCACTCACAAGATGGGCCTTTATCTGTGGAGCTTTTCAACAATGAGAACCCAGTTCTTACAGAAATTAAGAAAGCAGCACAAGAAATGGGCTTCAAAATCATTCCGGATATCAATGCAGATGAGTACGTTGGATTCACAGATTGCCAAGGAACTGTGCGATCGGGAGTGAGAGACAGCACGGCAACGGCGTTTCTGAATCCAATCAAAGACAGACCGAATCTTCACGTCGTGAAACACGCGCACGTTTACAATCTGGAGATCGACGAAAACGGCGAGGTTTCCGGAGTTACAATGAACTTGAGAGGACAGAAGATCCTGAAAGCCTTCGCGAAGAAGGAAGTGATTCTAAGTGCTGGAAGTATAGGTTCGCCTCAAATCCTAATGTTGTCCGGAATCGGACCTGCGCTTCATCTGGAAAACTTGGGAATTCCAGTGATTCTCGACCTTCCAGTCGGCAAGAACCTGCAAGATCACACAATGGTTATGCTTGCTTTCAAGATTCATAAGTCTACAGCTGTTCCTATTCCTGAATCTTTAGCGTTCCAGAGCTTCTTCCAATATTTGATGGAACATACTGGAGCTTTAGCACAAGGTTCTGGACATACAATGGGATTTGCCAATGTTCAAGATCCACTCGGAAAGTATCCTGATGTGCAATATCTGCATATACCATTCGCAAAAGGTCAAGTGAACGATTTGATTGCATTCTGCAACGTATTTAGTTTCAACGACGTTGTGATTCAAACTTTAGTACCACAAATTGAGTCAGCTGACATTCTCATTGTTTTCATACCTTATTTAAAACCAAAATCAAGAGGAGAAATTCTATTACGAAGCGCCGAACCTAACGAAAAGCCAAGAATTATTCCTAACTACTTTGCAGAAAATTCCGACATTGAAACCACCGTGAAAGGCATTCGACTTTATCTAAAATTCCTTCAAACTCAATCGTATACCAGAAATGAAGTTGAACTTATCGCTATTCCGATTCCCGAATGCGACGCTATGGGCATCAATTCTGACGAATATTGGGCTTGTTACTCAAGATATTTAGTGATAACATCTGCTCATCCAGTTGGAACTGTGAAAATGGGTCCTGATTCGGATCCTGGCGCAGTTGTCGATCACAGATTGCGAGTCAAAGGCGCGAAAGGCTTGAGAGTCATCGACGCGAGCATTATGCCTTTGGTCACGAGCGGAAACACAAACGCGCCCACAATTATGATCGCGGAGAAAGCTTCAGACTTCGTGAAGGAAGATTGGGGATTTAAGGATTGAATGGATTTCCAAAACGATGTAATTCTCTTAGAAGGCAATAAAGGATAATAATAAAGAGCACTTTTAAAATAGGTCGATTGGCTTCTGATCTTCGCTGCACTCGAAACCAGAGCGAGAGAAAGTTTTTCAGTCAATGACCCAAAGAAAGGCTTTTCAAAGTCAAGTCGGTTTCTTCTTCTCGCCCCCCAAAAACACGTCGCGAAAGCAGATTTCGTCTGCTGTGCTTTGTATGTAAGAACGTTTGTACATAAGCGAAATCGGAGAGTGAAGCAAACATATTTTCTTGACCTCTCTTTAATTAACATAAAGAAGAAATTAGTCAATATTCCAGTTTCATCACACTTGATATGTTTGTTTTTGTGTTTTTAGTGGAAAATAACCATTTTATTATTTATACATACTATTGTATATGATGTTGTATATTAGGATAAAAAAAGTATACGAATCCAGTTGGGTTGAATTCTCTTATAGACTTCTCAGTAGAACTTCAGTTTCCAATGGGTTAACATCGCACATTTCTTCGTGTTTCTTTTACACATAGTAAAAAAAAAGTTAGTTCTTGTCATAATAAGGGTTGACTGACATTGAATTCAGAGAAAAAACTATTGAAACGTACTGATTAAGGTGATTTTTTTATTTCCTTCGATTTGCTGAAGTATTTTGCTGTGCATAATTAATCAAAATGGAGTGTTTTCAATCTTCGTGTCCAAATCTGAGCGCAGGAGCGGTGAATCAGTATTTGTCGCTGCTCTTCAACTATCTCAGCATCGCTCAATGTTCGCTCGCGACTCCGGAAATTTGGCCCAGAGATTTCGGAGACTTCGCCATTAGAAAAGGTAAACTTCCGAACAATTCAACTGACACAGAATTAACGCTGGATCGAGTTTAGGGTTCGAGGAGTACGATTTCATCGTCGTGGGCGCAGGATCTGCAGGATCGGTCGTTGCCAATCGTCTGAGTGAGAATCCGGACTGGAACGTTCTGCTCTTGGAAGCTGGCGGCGATCCGCCGATTGAATCAATCGTATGAAATTATCCATTAAATCAAACACTCAAATATATTACAAAATATTCAACTCTTTGTTTAGATACCGGCATTGTTTTCTTCAATGTTGGACACAAAATATGACTGGAACCTTCCAATAGAACAATCGGACAATTATAGCCAATATATTGTTAATGGAGGAACTTTGGCGAGAGGAAAAATGTTAGGTGGTTCAAGTGCAATGAACAGTATGGCGTACATAAGAGGAAATGAGCAGAATTTTAACACTTGGGAAGCGATCGGGAACCCAACTTGGGGTTGGGAAGACGTCTTAGAATACTTCAAGAAATCAGAAAACAACCAAGACTTCAATGGATTCTATCACTCACAAGACGGTCCATTATCTGTGGAGCTTTTCACAAATAATGACACCATGAATAGTATTATCACTGAAGCAGCGCAAGAAATGGGCTTCAAAATCATTCCGGATATCAATGCCGATGAGCACGTTGGATTCACCGATTGCCAAGGAACTGTGCGATCGGGAGTGAGAGACAGCACGGCAACGGCGTTTCTGAACCCAATCAAAGACAGACCGAATCTTCACGTTGTGAAACACGCGCACGTTTACAATCTGGAGATCGACGAAAACGGCGCAGTTTCCGGAGTTACAATGAACTTGAGAGGACAGAAGATCCTGAAAGCCTTCGCGAAGAAGGAAGTGATTCTAAGTGCTGGAAGTATAGGTTCGCCTCAAATCCTAATGTTGTCCGGAATCGGACCTTCGCTTCATCTGCAAAACTTGGGAATTCCAGTGATTCTCGACCTTCCAGTCGGCAAGAACCTGCAAGATCACACAATGGTTATGCTTGCTTTCAAGATTCATAAGTCTACGGCTGTTCCTGTTCCTGAAACTGAAGCACTTCTGAATTTTTTCCAATACTTGATGCAACATACTGGATCTTTGGCTTCAATTGGAATTTTGCAATTAATGGGCTTTGTTAATGTTCATGACCCACTCGGGAAGTATCCTGATGTGCAGTTTCTTCACATAATATTCACGATAGGTCAAATTGCTGAGGTCAGGGGATTTTGCAAAAATTTTGGAGGTTTCAATGATGTGATTGAGAATTCTTTAGTTTCAGCAATACAGTCTTCTGACCTTCTAATAATATTTGTACTTAACTTAAAACAAAATTCGAGAGGAGAAATTCTATTACGAAGTGCCGAACATAACGAAAAGCCAAGAATAATTTTCAATTACTTTGCAGTAAATTCCGACATTGAAACCACCGTGAAAGGCATTCGACTTTATCTAAAATTCCTACAAACTCAATCGTATACCAGAAATGAAGTTGAACTTATCGCTATTCCGATTCCCGAATGCGATGCTTGGGGCTTCAATTCTGACGAATATTGGGCTTGTTATTGCAAGTACATAGTTATTAGTGGTTCACATCCAGTCGGCACTGTGAAAATGGGTCCTGATTCAGATCCTGGCGCGGTTGTCGATTACAGATTGCGAATCAAAGGCGCCAAAGGCTTGAGAGTCATCGACGCGAGCATTATGCCTTTAATCACGAGCGGAAACACAAACGCGCCCACAATTATGATCGCGGAGAAAGCTTCAGATTTCGTGAAGGAAGACTGGAACATAACGGATTGATATTTACTTACGTATATAATGTAAATAGTGACGTATTTTTCATTGACATTCATATATAAGAGATGCGTAAAGTGGCGGAGAACGGGTTAGCATAAGGCGTCTGGCGTTGCGTATGGCTAAGAATGTTACAAGATATTCTGGAAAAGGGCATCGAATACACACTTTCACCTTATATCGGTAAATAATAGGGCAGTGAGACAGGTTTCCAGAGATGAATTCGTCTTCTGGGGTTTAGTTGCATTTGAATTCTCAAACACTAAACATCTATTCTGCCGTAAAAAGAATTTCAAAAATATTAAGGAAAGTCTCTCAGTTTTTGGTTCATTACTTTTGTTAATTTTTTGTGGATTACGAAGTGAAATACGGATTTGTAATTAAAATCGAGCAAAGTATATTTTGAAATGGATTGTTTTCACTCTTCGTGTCCAAATCTGAGCGCAGGAGCGGCGAATCAGTATTTGTCGCTGCTCTTCAACTATCTCAGCATCGCTCAATGTTCGCTCGCGACTCCGGAAATTTGGCCCAGAGATTTCGGAGACTTCGCCATCAGAAAAGGTAAACTTCCGAACAATTCAACTGACACAGAATTAACACTGGATCGCGTTTAGGGTTCGAGGAGTACGATTTCATCGTCGTGGGCGCAGGATCTGCAGGATCGGTTGTCGCCAATCGCCTGAGTGAGAATCCGGACTGGAACGTTCTGCTCTTGGAAGCTGGCGGCGATCCTCCGATTGAAGCAGCGGTAAGAACTAGATTGCTATTGTGATAGCATAAGTAAATAGGTTGACAAAAGATCATATATACATTTTACTGACCAGATTCCCGGTCTCTCTGCATCCATGTATCCCACACAATATGACTGGCATTATTATGCTGAAGTGTCAGAGAAATACAGCTTGTACATTGAAGACGGCGGTGCGTGGCCGAGAGGAAAGATGTTAGGGGGAACAAGTTCTGTTAACGGCATGATTTACTTGAGAGGAAATGAGGAAGACTTCAACACTTGGGAAGCGCTCGGGAATCCGACTTGGGGATGGAAAAACGTCTTGAATTACTTTAAAAAATCAGAAAACAACCAAGATTTCGATGGATTCTATCACTCACAAGACGGGCCTTTATCTGTGCAGCTTTTCACAAACAATGACACAATTAATTTGCTTCTTACCGAGTCAGCAGAAGAAATGGGCTTCAAATTTCTTCCGGACATTAATGCTGATGAACACATTGGTTTTGTCCACTTTCAACGCACAATCAAGTCAGGAGTGCGCGAAAGTACAGCAACGGCGTTTCTTAATCCAATCAAAGACAGACCGAATCTTCACGTTGTGAAACACGCGCACGTTTACAATCTGGAAATCGACGAAAACGGCGCAGTTTCCGGAGTTACAATGAACTTGAGAGGACAGAAGATCCTGAAAGCCTTCGCGAAGAAGGAAGTGATTCTAAGTGCTGGCGTCATTGCATCACCGCAAATTCTCATGTTGTCCGGAATCGGACCTGCGCTTCATCTGCAAAACTTGGGAATTCCAGTGATTCTCGATCTTCCAGTCGGCAAAAACTTGCAAGATCACACAACAGTTCCTCTCTTCGTGAAGTTACGTCCTTCCAAAGAAAAGCCCGACACGCAAGCTGAGACATTGCAAAGTTTCGCGGAATTCTTGTTCAATCACAAGGGAGATTTTTCTGTCAACATGATAGAAACAATGGGATTAGTCAATTTCCACAACCAACTGGAGAAATATCCCAATTTTCAAATACTCTTTGCAGCATTCAAGAGAGGTGAACAAGCCAAGCTTGGAACATACTTCAAAGCAATAAGATTTTATGATGATATTGCTAATAATATAGCCGCTCAAGCTGAATCATCAGATGTTCTCGTTGTGTTTTTAATATATCTGAAGGCGGAATCTAGAGGAGAAATATTATTAAGAAGCGCCGAACCCATGGAAAAACCACGAATTATTTCCAATTATTTGCAAGAACAACCTGATTATCAAGCTTTTATCGAAGCAATTCGATTCTATTTGAGATTTTTACAAACAAAAAGCTTCAGAAAGCGAAAAGCAGAACTTTGGAAGTTGCCAATCCCCGAATGCGACGCACTCAATTCAAACAGTGACGAATATTGGGCTTGTTATTGCAATTATGTTGTGGCATCAGGATTTCATCCAGTCGGCACTGTGAAAATGGGTCCTGATTCGGATCCTGGCGCAGTTGTCGATCACAGATTGCGAGTCAAAGGCGCCAAAGGCTTGAGAGTCATCGACGCGAGCATTATGCCTTTGGTCACGAGCGGAAACACAAACGCGCCCACAATTATGATCGCGGAGAAAGCTTCAGACTTCGTGAAGGAAGATTGGGGATTTAAGGATTGAATGGATTTCCAAAACGATGTAATTCTCTTTGAAGGCAATAAAGGATAATAATAAAGAGCTCTTTTTAAATAGGTCGATTGGCTTCTGATCTTCGCTGCACTCGAAACCAGAGCGAGAGAAAGTTTTTCAGTCAGTGACCCAAAGAAAGGCTTTTCAAAGTCAAGTCGGTTTCTTCTTCTGGACTCACAAAAAACGTCACGAAAGCAGATTTCGTCTGCTGCGCTTTGTATGTAAGAACCTTTGTACATAAGCGAATTTGGAGAGTGAAACGTTTTTTCTTGTTCTCTAATTTGCATAAAGAAGAGATTAGTAAAAATTCCGGTTGAATCACATTGAAGAAATGTGTATTTTTGACTTCTTGTATGTTCTAGGAACTGCTAATGTATGTATATAAAATACATATACAATAAACAAACGTTCTGGCATAGGTAATGTGCCTTAAATTATTCATATATTCCTTATGTATAATATGATCAGAATACGTTCATTGCACTGTGATCATAGTTGAATTCTCAGTTTGATTTGAGCTTTCGAAGGCTCTAGTTCTGTCTGAGCAGATGAAAAAATTGTGATCTCGATAAAGTAAAAATAAAATTATAGCTTCAATAGTTTCCAAACCAACTTAAAAATTACCAAATTTTGTGCAAAACCACTTAATTTCGGCAGAGTTAGTCAAAATGGAGTGTTTTCACTCTTCGTGTCCAAATCTGAGCGCAGGAGCGGCGAATCAGTATTTGTCGCTGCTCTTCAACTATCTTAGCATTGCTCAATGTTCGCTCGCGACTCCGGAAATTTGGCCCAGAGATTTCGGAGACTTCGCCATCAGAAAAGGTAAACTTCCGAACAATTCAACCGACACAGAATTAACGCTGGATCGCGTTTAGGGTTCGAGGAGTACGATTTCATCGTCGTGGGCGCAGGATCTGCAGGATCTGTTGTCGCCAATCGCCTGAGCGAGAATCCGGACTGGAACGTTCTTCTCCTGGAAGCTGGAGGAGATCCTCCGATTGAATCAGCGGTAAGATTGAATATTGAATGTTAATTCAAACAATCACAGCATAATCCTTATTTTCCGTAGATTCCAGGACTTTTTACTACATTGACGAATACAAAGTATTCTTGGAGTTACCCAGCTGAAGCGTCGGATTTGCACAGCTTATTTGTCGTAAATGGTGGGATTTGGTATCGAGGCAAAATGTTAGGAGGATCAAGTTCAATTAACGAAATGATTTATGTGAGAGGAAATAAGGAAGACTTCGACACTTGGGAAGCTCTTGGGAACCCAACTTGGGGATGGAGTAACGTCTTAGAATATTTCAAGAAATCAGAAGACAATCAGGATTTCAATGGATTCTATCACTCACAAAATGGACCATTATCTGTGGAGCTTTTCACAAATAATGACACTATGAATAGTGTTATCATTGAAGCAGCTAAAGAAATGGGCTTCACATTTCTTCCGGACATTAATGCTGATGAATACATTGGCTATACATCCTTGCAAGGGACTTTGCGATCGGGAGTGAGAGACAGCACGGCAACGGCGTTTCTTAATCCAATCAAAGACAGACCGAATCTTCACGTCGTGAAACACGCGCACGTTTACAATCTGGAGATCGACGAAAACGGCGAAGTTTTCGGAGTTACAATGAACTTGAGAGGACAGAAGATCCTGAAAGCCTTCGCGAAGAAGGAAGTGATTCTAAGTGCTGGCGTCATTGCATCACCGCAAATTCTCATGTTGTCCGGAATCGGACCTGCGCTTCATCTGCAAAACTTGGGAATTCCAGTGATTCTCGATCTTCCAGTTGGCAAGAACTTGCAAGAACATCCTGATGTTTTCCTTGTTGTCACATTAAATCCCACAAATGATTTGCCAATACCTGAAACTGCCGCATTGCAGAGTTTCTTTCAATACTTGGTTCAACACGCGGGAGAATTTGCAACAATTGGAATAACACAAACAATGGGATTCGTCAATGTTCAGGATCCACTGGGAAAATATCCAGACTTTCAATACATTCATTTATACTTTAGGAAAGGACAAATCAACGAACTTGCGACACTGTTCAAAATTTACAGTTATAGCGAGGAACTTTCTCAGTCAATTACGAAACTTCTTGAAACTTCAGATCTTCTCATCGTGCCTTTGTTTTACTTGAAGGAAAAGTCCAGAGGAGAAATATTACTAAGGAGCGCCGAACCTATGGAAAAACCACGAATTATTCCAAACTTTCTAGCCGAACGCTCAGATACCGAAGCTTTCGTCAAAGCTATTCGGTTGTTTATAAACTTCCTTCAAACGAAATCTCTTGCTGCATTTGATGCAAAACTATTCCACGTTCCGATTCCCGAATGCGACGCTTATGGCTTTAATTCTGACGAATATTGGGCTTGTTATTGCAAATATATTATTATTCCGGGTGCACACACTGTTGGAACTGTGAAAATGGGTCCTGATTCGGATCCTGGCGCAGTTGTCGATCACAGATTGCGAGTCAAAGGCGCCAAAGGCTTGAGAGTCATCGACGCGAGCATTATGCCTTTAATCACGAGCGGAAACACAAACGCGCCCACAATTATGATCGCGGAGAAAGCTTCAGATTTCGTGAAGGAAGATTGGGGATTTAAGGATTGAAAGAATATAGAAATCGTCATAATGTCAATATAAATTCATATAAGAGCAAAAACCGAGTAGTTTTTCTTCACTCATTTTCATTTCATAGTCGTTGAATGGGCGAGAATGTTCAGTGAGCTTTCAATTAGTCCAATTAATCGTGCGATTCCCTGAACAACACTCAAGTGGACAGCAAGTGAATAATGAGTTCAATTTCGCACAGGCGGAAGAGATTGACCCTGAGCCACCTTCGCACAGGTGAATCGATGGAAGCGACATAGAATAATTAATCAAAATCCCACCCTTATATTGCATGAATTCGAGAATATATTGAGCCAAAAGGAGAGCCTCTCCCCATCCGCGGGGGCGCGGAAAAGCCACCACCCTTGCCGAAGATATTCGCAAGGGTGGAAATGGAGTGATTGAATGGATGATTTTAGAGTTGTTTGACGGAAACAACCAATAATTTTCCCAGGAATTCCCTCGTGAATCTTTAAAACACTCATGCACACGACAATTCCAGGCGGCGGACGAATTTGCAAATGGCTGTGATGGAGGAAAAAGGGGTTGAAGTCATGTGAGAATTTGTGCTAATGATTATATCCCTCTTGAAGCCTGTCCCGAGAGGATAATCTCGCGTATATCCTCTGGCGAGGAGCATGTGTAATGCCCAAATTGCCTCATATTTTCCACTCTTTTCTCTGTCATCTGCTGCCTTTTTTTTGCCACTCGCCTCGTCACGATTTCTCTTTCCAAATTCGGTCATGTCACATTTATGAAAATTTGCACATTATGGAGGACAACTTTATCTCGGCGCTTTTTCCTTCCCCGCGCGCAACGGAGGAATTTTTCATGAGACCTCCGTTCGATTTTTGCACGCGGAGTCGCTCGTAAACATGGTCGAAATTTGCGCAATATCACCATCTTTATATTTATTTATCCGTGCCGGTCGGAACGTGAAAAGAAGCAGCAATATTGTGTGCTTGTCACGAATTGTTGGGAGCTTCCTCAACATTTTCGCTTTGCATGAAAAGCTCATCCTTGAACTTTTCCCACCAATTAAATCCGCCAGCAGCTCTGAAGGGAAAAACGTCGCAAAACTTCAGCCGCAATCACTGCAATTCACCCTTCATGCCATGAGAACGACCCTCAAGAGGGCGATGGTTAGGGAAGAGCAGGGCTTCTTCCGAAAGCACATTTCGCCCTGAGCACACGAATGTGTTTGAGAAATTTCAGGAAATAGCTTCTTTTGTATTGTTTATTATCAAATCTTACCTCTGAAACTCATTATTGAAGTGTTTTTCATCATTTCTAAAACACACCAGAAGAATATAAATTTGGATAATTGTGCTTAAGAACTACTAAAATAGACCTTAATTCATAAATAGAATTCAAGCTTGATTTCTCAAAGCATTGCCAAGAAGCTGGGAATTTAATTCGGTCCAATTAGCCCCGAATTTCTCTAAAAAAAATATAGCCAAGAAGTTCATAAACTCACCGGCATCATCGCCAAACTCCTCAATTGTGTCAGAATCTTCCGACTTTAGCACTTTTCCCCCACTTTTGGCATTATCTTGCTCCACTTTCGTGGCATCGCCGTTCTCTGTGGGCACCAACTTTGCCTCTTGGCTCGAGCTGCAGCCCATCTTCGCCACCCGTGCGCAAGAAGGGCTCAAACAACTGTTGCGGATGGTGAAAAATTCACAAGACTCTGACGCTCAACTCCGACTTTTACGCACTGACAAACGCGACACGTTCATTCGAACTGCTCTGCACTCACCAAAAGTCCTTCGGCGCTTCGTTAATATGTCATGTGGGTACCTTTGCAGGTGCGTCATAAAATTTTCATTTTCCTAAGTGGTCGCCTGGACCGCTTCACAGTCTTTTCCCACGCACTTTGCACTCCGGCGTCATATCCAGTCCTCGGCAGAGATTCACGGCGCGCGAGAAGTTGGCGGACTTTTGGCGGGAAACTGCGACACTCGAGGGGCACAAAAGGCTGCCAAAGGGTTGTTGCAGAAGAGGTCACTCAGCAACGGAAATAAACATTTTACACACACAGAGCACTCACAGTGGAAAAAGGCGGGAAATATATTGATGTACAAATTTCGTTCGTGACGATGAAACTTTTTCTCTCTCTTAAAAAAACTGTGTTTAATCAATTCTTGAGTAATTCTCCTTCCCCTTCACAGTTGAAATTCCTGCACTTCGGGCAAATCCCTCAATTCACCTGTGCTAGGAAAACACCTCGTGGCTCTTTGCTATCCTTTCCACCAGCACAAACTGACACGGCGTTGTTGGAAGAGTTGTCGGCGGAGCGTTTATGCTGTCTGTTGCTGTGGTGCCTTCGATGCTATCGCATGCAAGGGGGAGAAATTGTCCTCAAAAGTGGTGTACAGAAAGTATTTAGGGAAAAAATATATCTTTGATCACAAATTGGCGGACTTCATTGAATTTTTCTGGATTATTTTGCTTAAATGAATTGATTTTTTAAGTTATGCCATAAAATAACCACAGAAAACCGTCAATTCTTTGTTTTGTAACTAAAATCGGTTTGGTTAAGCACCAAGAAAAACCACCTAAAGTCGCATTTTTACGATTTTGGGCAAGATAACTAAATATCTCCTGAGAACCTTTAGTAATAGAATTAATAAATAGTTTTCAGGCACTTATTTTCACAATAATTTCTTCTATATTTGGTTCTTCTTCAGACAATATAATGGATTAAATGTATAAAGGAGTTCAGATGTCTGCAGAGTGTTGTACAGATTCTAGGCGCACTATCTTCCCTTTGATCGCATGTGCTCTGTCTGCTGTCTCACTCATGCCGCCCACGAAAGAGTTCTTTTTCCGCCCATTGTGACGTGATGGCGTGGAAAAATTAACTGTGGCATAAGTCAATTCCCCAGCCAAAAAACCTCCTCTTGTGCCCAATATATTTCCAGCCAGAGCTTCGATGTAATGATGATTAGGATGACAATTCAAGCCATATTGCCAAGTTTCTTACTATACTGTCATTAAAACCGTCTGCATTGGTGTTAACTATATCGTCATGAGTTGAAAATCAATGGTTTAATCGGCCACAATTGCCACAATCAATACCATTTCCAGCTGAGGGTTAGTCAACCCTTCTGCATAGCGCTATTAAGTCGCCTATTTCGGTCATTTCGGTCAATTACCAGACTGAGATTCGCCACTTCCGCAACACAGATTTCGACACCCTCTAATTTACCACCACAATTCCCGGGCAAAATGACAAATTCGCTGTCCCTCTTCTAATTCATTTGCCACTCATCGCACGTGCAAACCTTAAAGCTCATCAAATTGTCGTGGCTTTTCGCATCATAAAAGCTCGCGCACAGTAATGCAAATTGGCTCATTTAAATTTACTTCCAGTGCGGAATAAAAAACAAGCCCATCCATCTCACTCAGGGAATTCACTTCGTCCCACAATTTTGGCAATTTTATCGACTACAGACATGACATGCCACGCTGTACATAACAATAATCATATCAAATGGACAAAGGAACGTGCCTTTTGCCGTCTCTTTCTCCAATGTTGCACGAACGCGGGCCAAGGGTGAAATGTTCTCTAAACACTATCATGCGAAATCGCATGAAAAGTTGTCATTCTCTTCGTCAGATGGGAAAATCTTAAGAAGGTTCTTCGCTTCAAAGGAAGTTGCCCCACAGATTAATGCGAAATCGCACAACTCACATTGTCTTAACGAGTCTTGCGAGACAATCAATAGCTATTTAGTGCTTCAGCTGTTGACTTAACTCGGAAACAGTGGAAATTTTCCAGGAAATTCTCAAGATATGAGTTAATTAACAACTTCCATTGCTCAGTTTGCATTATTGAGGGTTATCTCGAGTGCAGCATAAACTTGAAGCCCAAGAAATGCTTTACAATTCCTGCATTTTCTCCGTGCCTCAGTCAAATTGAACAATCGAGCAACAAACTATGCTGACGAATGAAGTAACTGAGAAAGAAGTTTTGCACAAACTTTTAGTTCGACTCAACTAATCAAGTCAAACTTTCGGTGAATCGTGAAGTGAAAGAAAGTTTCCATCATGTGCGTTAATTGAATTTTGGACTGTTGCCGGCACAAAGCGTATAAATAAAGAGAAGGATGAGAATTGGGGATTTTCTTCGACGTGTGCGAGATTTCGCGTGCTCTCTGATAATATATATAGTATTCTGTGAATGACAGTCATTCAAAGGTGTGAAACTCTCTGTTGTGCTGAAGCTTCTCTCCAAAAAGCTCTGCGCTATATATAGATGTACTCAGAATACTCTCTTCGTCGTCTTATTTTGCCGAGGAAAAAAAGGAGGAAAAACATTGAAACATCCGAGGTTTAACGATAAAAGCCTTCATGTTGGTTCATAATAAAATTCTCCATGGCATTTTTATCACTTTGCATCTCCCAATAAATTGGATAAAATGGTTATAACATAGACCAAGGGGGAGATATTATGGCCAGAAGTGGTGTACAGCACTTTGGAAATGTTTTAACGATTTAAACATTTATAATTCATTTTTGAATTTCTTAGTTTCTCCTAATTTTTACGCAGAAAAATATTCAAATTATTGCTTTTCTAGGTTATGTTATCGATTTGCGTCAAACTTAGTGACAAATTTTCATTTCAGCACATCAATTCTTCAGATTTAAGCGATTTAAGCCAGAAGAAATTGTAGTTCTTGACTAGATCGCTATTCTGGATCTTTAAAGTTAGGAACCAGAGCCAATTTTTACTAATATAACCTCAAAAATTGTATTTTTAAACACTTTTTGACCCTTTTGAAGATGCAAATCAGCAATTTTGCGTTCATTTGCCAATTAATACCAACTTTGTCTTTCAAAAAAGATGACTAATCAAGCGATTTAAGGGAGTTTTGGAAGTTCTGTACAGATTTCAGCCACATTATCTCCCCCTTGTCAAGCACCAAATGATTGCGCGCATTAGCCTCACTGCGCGTCCGCGTGCTGCTTCGCGATGTGGCTCTTCAGGTGTCCGGACTGCGTGAAGCCCTTGCCGCACGTCTCGCACTTGTACGGCTTCTCGCCAGTGTGCGTGCGCAGATGCGTCTTGCACTGCGTGTTCTTGGGGAACTCCTTGCCGCACTCCGGACACTTGTACGGACGCACGCCCGTGTGTTTGCGCATGTGGACCTTCAGGGAGCCCGACTGCACGAAGCGCATGCCGCACTCTGGACACACGAAGGGCTTCTCGCCCGTGTGCGTCATCAGGTGGCTCTTCAGCGTGCCGGACTGCGAGAAGCGCATCCCGCACACGGCGCACTCGTACGGCTTCTCACCTGTGTGCGTGCGCATGTGGCACTTGAGGTTCTTGTCGTGCGCGAACCCCTTGCCGCACTCCTGGCACAGGAAGGGCTTCTCGCCCGTGTGCACGGACTGGTGGCGCTTCATGGTCTTCAGATGGGAGAAGCGCAGCCCGCACGTGGGACACTCATACGGACGCTCGCCCGAGTGCACGCGATAGTGCTGCCGCAGACGCGTGAGGAACGGGAAGCACTTGCCGCACACCGGACACTCGTGCTGCTTCCCGGGCGTCTTCAGCTTCTCACCGGGAATCTCCTCGACCTGCGCGACCGCCAGCGACTCCTCCTGCCACAGCAGCTCATCTGTGGTTCCCATGAATCTGCCAATCAACACAAGGGGCAGAGATTTGATCGTTTGACTATCAAAAGCTGCAAAAGCTTCTTTTCTAAGCACAGTCACTCACCCCATCGTCACTTTGGCGATGTCCTCCTGGACGAGGGGCGTCAGAATCGCCTCTTCCAGCACCATTGGAATGTCCGCGAACTTCTCGGGCGGTAAATTGCCCACGAAGGGACTGAACGCCTGCATGTCCAGCAAGTCGCCGTTCACCGGGAACGCGTGCTCGGGAAACATCGCCAGATCGCCTGGAAAGTCCGCCTCGGTGGGCTGCAGGTCCGGCAGAAAGTTCTCATAGCAGAGAATCGGGCTGACTTTTCCCGGCGCCACGCTCGTGGCGTTGAAGCGATCGATCTCGTGGCGGCGCACGTGGCTCTTGAGGCTGCACGGCTGCGTGAAGCTCTTGCCGCACTCCGGACACATGAACGGGCGCTCTCCCGTGTGCGTGCGCAGGTGCGCCTTGAGGTGCGCCGTCTGCGCGAAGGCCGCCGGGCATTCAGGGCACTGGTAGGGCTTCTCCTTGGTGTGCGTGCGGATGTGCTGCTTCAGGTGGCCCATCTGGTTGAAGCGCTTGCCGCACTCCGGACACTCCAGCCTCTTTTCGCCCGTGTGCGTGAGGATGTGCACCTTCAGCTGTCCCTCCTGCGTGAAGCGCTTCAGGCACTCGCGGCACTGATACGGCTTCTCGCCAGTGTGCAGGCGCATGTGGATGCGCAGCGTGATGGCCTGCGTGAAGCGTTTCTGGCACACCTGACACTCGTGCGTGCGCGGCTTGTTGCTCATGTTGTAGCGCTTCGCCTTGAACATGTCCAGATGACTGTTGAGATTAAGGAGTGATTTAATCTTCTATTAAGTCTTGACAGAGAGAAATTTAGGCTCAAAAAGAAAGGGAAATTATTGGCGCAATTAGCGCACTGAGTCGTGCGCTTACCAGAGTGAAGATTGTGGCGCTGTAGGCGGCGCCTTCGCCTCCACCTTAATCCTGGGCGTGCGCAGCTTCAGCATGCGCGCCTCGATGCCCGGAAACTGGTGTCGCAGCTGGTGTTGCTTCAGCGAGCTCACCTGCGCATATCTCTTACCGCATTGCTGACACTCGAAGGGCTTTTCGCCCGTGTGCGTGCGCATGTGCGTCCTGAGCTGCGCCGGCTGCAGGAAGCTCTTGCCGCACTGAGCGCACGCAAAAGGCTTCTCGCCGCGGTGACGCTGCATGTGCACCTTCAGGTGGCCCTTCTGCATGAACCTCTTGCCGCACAGCGGGCACACTTCCATGCGCTCGCCGTTGTGCGTGCGCAGATGCACCTTTAGCTGGCCGGCCTGCACGAAGCGCTTGCCGCACTGGTCACACGAGAAAGGCCTGTCGCCCGTGTGCGTGCGCAGATGGACGTTGAGGGCGCCGGACTGCGTGAAGCTCTTGCCGCACTCCTGGCACTGGAAGGGCTTCTCGCCAGAGTGGATCATCATGTGACTGCGCAGCCCCGACTTGTCACGGAAGTTCTTGTTGCACAGCGGACAGAAGAACTTCTTGCCGCCCAGCGAGGCCTTCAGCTCCTCCACGATCTCAGCGAAGTCGCTCTCCTTGGAGCCAGAGCTACAAAAACAGCCCCCAAAATTCATCACTCTTGGAGGTTATGGCAAATTGCGAGGCAATTGGCGTGAGATTGTGGCCAAGAACGCACCTGTCCTCAATGAAATCCACCGGATCGACAGTCTCGGGACTACACTTAAGCAAGTCCATGGCTAGCGGATAGGGTGGAATTGTGAATTCTGGCTGAAATCGCAGGAAAAAGATTTTGGGAATGTTTATCAAAACAACAGAGAAATCACTCTGACGTTTCGTCCATATAATTAAAAGACACGTAATTTATTTTGCGACTGCAAAATGCTTCAACTGCTCTCCGCTGCGGCGCTCAGAAATCATGAAACATATTTTAATACATTTGGGAAATGCCCGGAATATTCGGGAAAACCCCTTTTCCCTGGCCAGATAGGATTGAAGGACAAATAAAAATACAGTTTTAAAAGTGTTACTGTATCTTTTCCAATTCCGAGCAAATCGAGAGAAACAAATGCACAGACATTAAGTAAGCAATTCTCAAAGGAAAAACAATCTTATCTGCCTTAAATCGATACATTTAATAGAGACAATCGAAAGTAATGAAATATTGTAACATTTACAATTTAATTTTAGCGCGACGTGTAGTTTATATTTGGCAAACACTGTGGTGTCGGTGGTGTCCCACAGAGGGCGCGAAGGCGAGAGAGGGAGATGAAAACAGACGTCTGGTCAAGCGGCACAGTGAAACGAGCTGCAGAAAAAAGTGCATTATTGGGATTATTGGTGGAACAAATTGTAGTAAGGAGACAATAAATAGCTTCTTGAGAACACGACAGTATCAAAGTCAACTGCAATAAATACAGACACTGGAATAAAAGACAAATTCAACCGCAACAAGAAAGTCGCCATGTTCCTCAAAGTCTTAATGTCGTGAAGGCCAATTATTTGGAAGGACCTAGTCCACTGGGACTAGGATCCTGCATGTCTGTAACAATCTGACGCCAAAATCTGCTGGATGTAACATCGTTACAGTTGCGATTAATAAATAGGAGTTGAACAAAAAAAAATGTTCCTCAAAAACAACTGTTGATTATGTTTGCATCAATATTATATTTTAAGTATGCTTTCGTTGTCCAGCATGATAGTTTCTGGAAATTTAGGGCTGAACCTGGGCGGCGGCGTCGGTAGCAGTGTTAGCAGCGTCAGTGGCGGTTTGGGTAGCAGTGTTAGCAGCGTCAGTGGCGGCGTCAGTAGCGGTGTTGGCAGCGTCCTGAGCAGCCTGGGTTCCCTGTTGGGCAGCATCGGACAAAGCCTGCTGGGCAGCCTCGATGACCTTCTGGACAGTTTCACCAAGTTTTCCGGCCACATCACCAACGATTTCGACGACGCCATTAACGACATCAATCACAACTTCGACGACATCTCCGGCGCTGTTGCTGATTTGCACAACAATGTTTCCGGCCTGATCAACGGTCGCCGAGATGGTTTCTCCAGCAGCCGCGGTCACTTTACCAATAGTGTCCACGACAGTCTCGGAAATCTGTCCGGCAATTTCTCCGAGCTTGCTGGTGACGTCTTGAATAATTTGCTGTCCATGCGAGATGACATTTTTAACAGCGCTATCAACTGTGCCGGTAATTTCATCCACCACGCTAGTGATAAAATCAAAAATACCTGGAAAAGCGAGAGGATTTCCTGGAAGAGCCGAAGAAAAGGACAAGAATTAAATCTAGCACAAGAGAGAGATCCTGTCCAGAGGTCAGAGTGCTTACCCATCGCTGGTGCGAGCACCAGGGCAACGGCGAAAGTCACGATGAGGAAACGCATCTTGTATCGATTTAGCTAAGTGATTACTGGTGTCTTGTCGACTGATGGTTTGGAAGATCCCAGAGGCTGAATTTATAGTGCCTGGAAGATGTGCGGTTGCTTACGTTTCCGCGCTGCTGATGCGTCTCAGGGTGAAGATCAGAACATCTGTTCCAACAGCATTTTTGCGCACACATTTTTGTGGAAAGTGTATTTTCTTCTTGAATCTTCCGACACGAAGAATTTGACAATATTTTATTTATTCACATGAGAAAATATCAATCAATGACGTCTTACATTTGTATAATATTTGTTCTGATTTTATTCAATCTATCAGAATGGTAATGTTTTGCTGCTCTCAGCACTAAAATTAATTCTTCTCAACAGTTCTCCCCCCTTTTCTCCCTTTTCTCGGGCCAAATATGATTGAAAGACAAAACAAATACAGTTTTAAAAAAATTTAGTGTATTTTTTTCCCAATTTCGAACACACATAAGGCAAATCGAGAAACAAATGCACAGACATTAAGCAAGCAATTCCAAAAGGAAAAACAATCTTATCTGCCTTAAATCGATACATTTAATAGAGCCAATCGAAAGTAATGAAATATAGTAAAATATACAATTTAATTTTAACGCGATGTGTAGTTTATATTTGGCAAACACTGTGGTGTCGGTGGTGTCTCACAGAGGGCGCGAAGGCGAGAGAGGGAGATGAAAGCGGACAGTCTGGTCAAGCGGCACAGTGAAACGAGCTGCAGAAAAAAGTGCATTATTGGGATTATTGGTGGAACAAATTGTAGCAATGAGACAATTAATAGCTTCTTGAGAACACGACAGTATCAAAGTCAACTGCAATAAATACAGACACTGGAATAAAAGACAAATTCAACCGCAACAAGAAAGTCGCCATGTTCCTCAAAAACAACTGTTGATTATGCTTGCATCAATATTATATTTTAAGTATGCTTTCGTTGTCCAGCATGATAGTTTCTGGAAATTTAGGGCTGAACCTGGGCGGCGGCGTCGGTAGCAGTGGTAGCAGCGTCAGTGGCGGCTTGGGTAGCAGTGTTAGCAGCGTCAGTGGCGGTTTGGGTAGCAGTGTTAGCAGCGTCAGTGGCGGTTTGGGTAGCAGTGTTAGCAGCGTCGGTAGCAGTGTTAGCAGCGCCAGTGGCGGCGTCAGTAGCAGTGTTGGCAGCGTCCTGAGCAGCCTGGGTTCCCTGTTGGATAGCACCGGCCGCAGCCTGCTGGACAGCCTCGACGACCTTCTGGACAGTTTGAGCAAGTCCTCCGGCCACTTGGCCAGCGGTTTGGACGACGCCAGTAACGGCATTAACCGCAACTTGGGCGACCTCTCCGGCGCTATTGGTGATTTGCACAACAATGTTTCCGGCCTGATCAACGGTCGCCGAGATGGTTTCTCCAGCAGCCGCGGTCAGTCCGCCAACAGTGTCCACGACAGCCTTGGCAACATTTCCAGCAGCTTCTCCGAGCGCTGCGGTCACATCAGTAATAATTTTCTGTCCCTGCTCGACGACATTATTAATAGCGCCAACAACCGCGTCAGTAACTCCCTTCACGGCGTCAGTGATTCCAGTAAAAATACTTCCAAAATCGAAGGGATTTCCTGAAAGAGCCAAAAAAAAGGACAAGAATAAAATCTAGCACAAGAGAGAGATCCTGTCCAGAGGTCAGAGTGCTTACCCATCGCTGGTGCGAGCACCAGGGCAACGGCGAAAGTCACGATGAGGAAACGCATCTTGTATCGATTTAGCTAAGTGATTACTGGTGTCTTGTAGACTGATGGTTTTCGAAGATCCCAGAGGCTGAATTTATAGTGCCTGGAAGATGTGCGGTTGCTTACGTTTCCGCGCTGCTGATGCGTCTCAGGGTGAAGATCAGAACATCTGTTCCAACAGCATTTTTGCGCAACATTTTTGTAGAAAGTGTATTTTCTATTTTAATCTTCCGACACGAAGAATTTGGCAATATCTTATTTATTCACATGAGAAAATATCAATCAATGACGTCTTACATTTGTATAATATTTGTCCTGACTTTATTCAATCTATCACAATGGTGCGTTTTGCTGCTCTCAGCACTGAAATGGCGCCACATTATTCCTTCAGCGTCATTTTGTATGTACCAGTTGTTTCCTGATATTGAGACACGTTCTTCTCAACACTTCTCATCTGTCTATTGCCCTCTTCCTTTCGGTGCTTTCCCTCAATGGAGTGACCCATGCCGTAGCTGAAGTAGATGATGTACCCAATGATGACCCACACGGCGAAACGAATCCACGTGTGTGCGTCCAGTTGAAACATGAGGTAGAAATTGATGAAGATGGAGATGCAGGGAAGAAACGGCACCAGAGGCACTTGGAAGGTTAATTTCACACTGGAAATTGGTTGACGCCCAATGGCGACAATGCAAATAATCATGGCGACCACAACAATCGTCGCGGAAATTTGAATCACTGGATAGTCGATAATGTCGCCAAAGGTGATGAGACCACAGAGAACAATGGCCAGAATGCTGAACATTACAATTCCGATCTTGCTGATGGCGCTTGTGGTGACATTGGTTCCACTTATTCGATTGGAATTAAACATCTTGGCAAGAACACTCGCATTGCTAATATCTTCGGGCATGTCTTCATCCTGATAGCGGAGCACAAGCACGCAAATGGCCACGATGGAGTACGCCAAGAGGGTGCCGATGGACATCATGTCGATGAGTTGGTGGAGATTGAAGATTGCTCCCATGATGGCGGCGAAGAAACCCGCAAGCATTGTGGCGACTACTGGAGTCTTCGTCTTCGACGACACCTTCTGAAAGATCTTGTAGAGGATGCCGTCGCTGGCCATGGCGTACAGGACGCGTGGCAGAGGAAACATTGCGCCCAAGAGGGATGTGCAGAGGGCAAAGTTGGCGCCAATAGTCACGATCCACTTGACCTCCACGTAGCCCACCATCTCGAAGACATGGGGAAAGGGAGCGTTGGCGTCCAGCACGAAAAAAGGCGCCATCATGGTGAGCACCATGGAGATGAGGAAGTACGCCAGGAAGATGATGATGAGTGACAGGACGATGGAGAGAGGAATGTTGCGCTTGGGATTCTTCGCCTCCTCGCCAGTTGTGGCCACACAGTCGAAGCCCACAAAGCCGTAAAAGCACTTGGCCGCTCCAGCCATCACTCCAGCAATGCCAAAGGGCATGAATCCTCCAGAACCACACTCAGCAGTCTTGCACTCAGGAGTGGTGCTGGGATCGACAGCCCAATTGGCGGGATTCACTGTGGAAAAACAAAGTGGTTCAATGAAGGCTTCACATCAGAGAATTGGTAGGGAAAAAGTACCTTTGATTAGTCCAGCTATGATTATGATCACTATTGTAATCATGTTGACGGCAGTGAAGATGTTGTTGAAGAGCGTGGACTCCTTCACTCCGACTGCAAGAAGGACGGCCAGGAGCATCACCACGATGAAGGTGAAGAAGTCAGGATATTCAGCTAGGAAATCGACATTGATGGGAAAGAGTTCATAAAGCGTTTGCGACATCTTTTGATCGAAGATTGAATCAAGGTAACCGCTTAGTCCTCGAGCAACGCTGGCAGTACCTGCAAGAAGGAGCTCTGTTTAGTGTGCGCCTGGAGATTGTGATATTTACTACTTACCTATGACATATTCTAGGATGAGATTCCACCCAATGGTGAAGGCCACAAACTCCCCTATGCTGACATAGCTGTAGATATAGGCCGACCCAGCTTTTGGGACGCGTGCTGCGAACTCCGCGTAGCAGAGACCAGAGAAGGCCGAGGCGATGGCGGCGATTAGGAAGGAGATTGTCACTGCCGGGCCGGCCTGTTCCCTGGCCACGGCGCCTGCCAGGACATACACGCCCAGGCCAAGAGTGCTGCCCACACCCAGAGCCGTGAGATCGAACAGGGTCAGCACTCTGGCCAATTTCGACTCACTTCCGTCGTCCTCCTGACGTTTCCGTCGCACTAGTGCTGCATAGAGCTTCTTGAAGGAGTGCAGAACCTGCAGGAACATATTTCTGGCAGGTGATCAATTTCCTGAAACAGGGAGAGAGAAGGAATAGATAAATTAACGTGTGTGGAATAGCCAAAAAATGTGTCTCAATTGTTTAAAATAAATGAACTTCAATTGAAAGTCTCAGAAAATCCGATTTTTTTCTTCTACTTTGCCTAAAAGTTGCAACTGATGAACCCCTTGACTTTCATTGCTACTCTGCTCACCGCTGGATGGCATTGGGAGTGAGAAAAGTCACGACATTGACATGTATTTTCACTCGAAAAAATACGCGGAATACATTTTTTTATTCGCCTAAATTGACTGATAAATTAAAGAAAAAAAAATGCCAAACGGTGTCGACTTGGCATTGAGACCCTTCGATGAAGAAGTGAGAGACTAAGCGAGAAATCCATCCGCAGTGCGTGGAAAATTTAATTGAAAGAATGAAAAGCTCATCAATCGCTTTAATTGCTGCTTTTTCGTGGCATTTTGAGGTCAATGGCAATTCATCCAATGCATCCACAAACGCACACGAGAATCTTTTTCTCCACTGAATTCTTCACACGATTCTCTTGCTGAAAGAGCTTTCGTGCTGGCCATCCTTGACCGCTTCAATACGCACTTCAGAGTCTCAAAAAAGCGCGCGCAAAACTCAAAACACGCTGTGTGATTTTTTGTAAAGGGCGCGAAGATCGATCGCGCTTCCTTCTTTCATTCCGGTTCTTATTGATAATGGCGGGACTTCAATTGCCGAAACCTGTTTGTGGCAAATAGAAGTTTTTCAGGTGATTTTAGAGGTCTTGGTCAGGTGGAAACTTAACTTATTTCCGCTTAACTGCCAATTGGGAATGCTATATTATTGGTTAATAAAGACTGGAGACGGTGAAGAATGTGAATTCTAATATCAGATTACGCCAAATTAAGTTGTCACATTATGCAAATTTCACATACTTCATTTTCTATATTCTTTCTGGCTTCGTGAAGAATAGATAAAGTTTCCAGTTCAAAGCTTTGCCTGTTGATAGCGTGATATTATTGCGTGTTTTTCAGCATTTCATGATACAATTCACTGTCTCATAGGCCAATATTGTAACTTTATTTGATTTATATGTTTTAGACAAGTTTACTTTCAGATTATTTCCAGTTTTAAGAAAATTTATTAGTTTCTTTTGTGGTTTTTTCAATGCAAATGTGAGAAAAATGTATTTATTAGCTTAGAATGTTGGCAGTAAATGTAAAATTTCAATATCTGATCACAAAATTCCTTATAATAATGTGATATAAAAAATTTTTATCAAAATAAATATAATTGAAAAATAAGCACAAAAGTTTCAAGAACTATCTTCGAAAGGTAAAGGAAGGGATTAAAAAGAACACGCTTTTAAGGATATTTCTCATCCGTATTTCTTGAAGTTTGAGTTTTAGGAATTGCACAAAAGTCCAAACATTTGTTTACTCTTTCCCAAATTTGGCATTTTTCTGCAAAGGTCAGTGAATTTTGAAAACTCGTCAATTTACAGATACGTGCCAATAATATTGTCGCTCAACTGTTGCAAAGTTCCCACAAGAGTTATTAATTAAGTGCTACAATCATTCCGCTAGGTTAATTGCAACAATGTTATTTATAGACATGAAAAAAATTATTAGAAAAAAACCATTGAACGACAACAAGGTCTTGAGAGAAATGACAATAGACGAATTTGTGTGAATTTAAACAAACAATTTTATGTCTTGAAGATGAGAACAATTAATAAAATGATGTTCTTGAGACTGAGAATTGACTTAGAATATTTTAGAATTTCAGAGACAAATGTTCAATAATAATTCCAAGGAAAGGTGACTTTAAGGCCACTCATTGCCCTGTTTTTCATTGATTTCACAGAAAATTCCCAACACTTAATCACAACCAACAGTTGGGAGATTTGTTTTTTCCTCTCTTCGCATTTGGAGAAACGCGGTTGGGGATTTTTTTTTCTTGCCATTTTCACAATGATCGCAATCAGAGGCATTCCTTAAGGCTATTTTCTTGCAAAGAAGAAATTTTTGTCCAGTTTTGCGATTAGGCCTCTGGCGCCAAATTCCAGAGAGTGTCGCATTTCACTCTTGGGCGGCACTCCTAATAATCTTCGGGGCTGCGATTTCCTAGAGATCGCACACACATGATTGTTTGATAATGGGGAAAGAGAATCGCCCGAAAAATGGCTTTTTTCCCCTTCACTCGCGCGCGTCGAAAGGCACAATTTAATAATGGTGTGTTTATTTTATCTGAATATCAAGGTCTAATATTGTGGTTCGTCACAAGAGAGCATCGATTCATGTTGAATTTGGTTGAAAAAGAGAATAAAACTATTGCCGAGGCGAATAAAGTTGGGAAAAAAAGAACAATATCTGAATGGAGGACTTTGCTCACGATCATCCGTGATAATGGCACACTGAGAATGTCCACAGAATGACGGTTTTGTGATAGTAAAACAAGTCTAATTACACGTTTCACCCAGGATGAAATTGTGTCACTAATTTTCCACTCAATTTAGCAACACGATAGCTGATCAGAATGACTTCTTAAAGCACTGTCGCTGAAACTGCTGATCACTCTTGAGCACCTGAGAAGTTGTGTTTTGGCGGGAGATTCTGCCCGATCAACCAGCTCGATATTCGTCCGGTCTGAGCGTCCGATCGCAACTGTTTGCACAGCAAATGGCATTCAAAATACACCTGATCGATGTGCCTTTTTTCGCTCTTCCACTCCAGCAGAAGCATTAATGGGGCAGACAGAGTGGCGGGGGCACGCACACCAGCGCGCGCGCGCTCTTCCCGAGGCCCCCGGAGACAGAGTGTGGGCGCGGGTGGAGAAATGTGATCAGTTTTTTTTTTTGAGATCACATTGCGAAATTCACACGATAATTGAAAGGGAAAATTTGGGGGAAAAAAGGGGCTTTCTATCGCGACGATTTTTTCCCCGCAAACTTTCCTTAGACAGAAGTTAGAGTAATGATAAGAATATGCTTTTGTGAGCACAAATTGCATTCACTGACGTCTGAGCCAGAGAAAAACGGTGGAAAAGCTCTTTTTCCAAATGAAAAGCCTAAATAAAAAGTAAGACAAGACAATTACGTGTAGTATTTCAGCACATATATCATACTAATTGAAATGGAGTCTTTTATTTTGTCAACGTTTTTATGTTTTGTCATAAATATGTGTAATGATTCCCAGCTAAACTCACGGAGATTTTAGTGGAGCATCAAAGAAGTGACTTTATCATTTACGACCGTGGATAGAATAGAGTAAACTGAGCAGTGGGAAGATTCAATTCGATGATGAGCTCTCCAACGATCGATCAATCGATGTTGTGAGCCAAAATTGACCAAGAAGAACAAAAAACGCCACCACAATGAATTTTCCTTCGATTTATCTTATTTTATTCAAGTCCGGAAGCCTTTCTGACCACTTCAGTGGAGCGACTTGCTGAAGACGCTGCTCTGCAGCGTGGCCACCGTGGCCGGAATGGTGCTGCATCCCACGCACGTGTGCAGATCATCGTGGATGAAGATGTCGCAGTCGGTGCAGAAGATCATCAAGCACGTCTCGCACTGGTACACCAGCCTGTCGTGCATCTCTGAGAAGACCTTCTGGCAGCCGTAGCACAGCTCCGACTGCCGCTGCCACTCCAGCTCCCGGAAGCGCGCCACCGGGAAGAGATGGTGGTAGGATCTGGCGAGGTGTGGCGCCGAGACGAGCGTCAGGCCGCACGTGATGCACTCGATGGGCAGCTCGCAGTACTTGCTGAGGCACTGCGGACACTGATAGCCGCCCACCGACAGATGACTCGGCTCGTCAGCGCTGTCCAGATGGCACGTGCACAGCGTGAGCGCGGGATCCTTGCCCTCGTCCGCACGCCCATGCGGGAAGCCCATCTTGATCAGCGAGTTCTCCTGTGTCTTGGCCGCCGGCGGCGGCTCCACATGCTGCAGCAGCTGATCGCGGAAGTGGGCGTCGTCCAGGATGACGCTGTACAGTCCGTTTGTCTCCTTCGTCATGTGCTTGCAGATCCTCACCTCGGCCGACAGGCTGATCACGGAGCAGCGAATGCCATCGGCTCTGAGTGCGTCAATGGTCACGTGGATGTCTGTGGGATCACAGGTCGTCAGGCTGCCCATGATCACGAGAATCTCCCGGCTGGCATGCGCCGGAACCATCTTCAGTGTCTTCAAGGCCAAGTCCAGACCGTTCTGCAGCGAAGGCTCTCCCGTGAGGGCCAAATCCGCCAGTCCCTTCACGGCTTTCACGTGCCTTCGACTACTTCCAGTGAGATCTGAGATCTTCTCTGCCCTCTTGCTCTTCAGCACGATGAAGCCCATCTGACTGATTGGATTCTGATCGAAGAACTCCTCAATGAACACCTCCAGCAGCTTCATGGTGCACACCAGTCGTGTGGGCTTCAGATCCTGCAATCCCATGTTCTCAGTTCCGTCCACAATAACATACAGATGCCTCATCATGCCCAGGCGACTGAGGCCCTTCTTCTCCGCCTGGCGCTTCCGCTTCGCCTTTTGTATGATCTCCGCCACGGAGCTCTGCAGCAATCCGCGCTCATCCTCCTTTATCGCCTCCCTGGAAGCCAAAAGAAGACGATCCAGGCATTCAATCCCGGCAAAACATAAACAATGCGTGAGGTTATGTTACCATGTTTTCTCGTATCCCGTCTCCCAGCGATACTCCTTCGGATCCTCCTCATCCGCCATCCCTGTTCAGTGTTTTCTCTCAGCCTTCCAGCCAAATTCACCGTGATTATCCCTGGTTATTGCCCAAAAACACGAAATTCCTCAAGCGAACTGCCTTTTGGGTCACTTTCGCCGCGCAATTCCACCCAAATGTCACTGTGGCGCTGGCGTCGCCGCCGCCGCGACTCTCATCTCTACTGTGGGCGCCATCTTTAGTTTTGTTGTGAACGGCAAGGGGACGCGTTTTTCCCAGCATTTTTCCGCAGATTTATCCGCTTTTGAGCCGAGTGTGGCCCCACGCTGTCTTCTGTGACCTGTGCATCGTGTGCGCGTGGTAAGTGGGTGTAGGTGGAGTGAAAAAATAATTTTATAACACTTTTTGGCGGGGTGTCTGACAACTACCCGTGGGGGTTTGAAAACCCCTCAATTTTCCACCTTTCTGGCGCACTAGAGGGCCCATCTCGAGGTTTTCCCCCCTCCCGGGACCCCTTTGGTGCTCATGAAGGTGGAAATGGGCGGTGAAGCGGGGTTGCTTAAGTGATTTTGGGGATTGTTTGTAATTTTCCCGATGGCTTGACGTTTGATTGATGGCGTTCTGGGAAAAATGGCGGCACTTTTGAATGCACAGCAGAGATTCACGGCTTGTCCTTCTCCTTGCAGCTTCCGGGGGCACAATTAACTCTTGAAGATGACGAAGGATGTGGCAGACATCGATCCGTCGGATATAGCAAAACATCCGGACGCGATAAAGAGTGAGTAAAGGCGTGTTTTTCCCCTGCCGGATTGACTGACTGAGATTTGAACGGTGTTTTCAGAAGCTCTTGAGGAAGTTGGAAGCCTGGATGTTCTCGTGTGTGGCACTTGCCACGCTGCCTTCCACTACGTTGAGGCATTTACTGAGCACAAGGCGGAGAAATGCTCTGGAGAGTCTAGCTTGAGGGAATGTGTAAGTTTAGAGCTTGCAAAAGAAATGAAATTTCTTCTATTGCCGAGGTTTTTGTGCTTTCCAGCGCGAGTCGAAACCCAAAGTGTGGGCTTTTCTGCTGTGGAAGGCATGTCAGATGAAGACTGACGAGGATATTCCGGCAAACTCGTGGAAATTGTATCAAACTTGGGTGAGATTGGATGAGAATGTGAGGGAATCGTGGGTTGTGGCGGGCAAAACCATCCAATCCTTCGTGCGAATGAGTCAAGGGCAGATGCAGGAAGTCCCCGTGAAGGTCATCAAGCAGATTGTCGATCAGCCGAAGGCGGGAGGTGATTCTCCGCAGGGTGAGACAGAGATTTATCCTCAAACATTGAGCATTGCAGCTGAATCGAGTGTCTTTTTGCAGCCTCCGCCACAGCCAGAGCCCCAATAAAGCGTCCCATTGTGGTGACGGGCAGAAAAGTGGATGCGGACCAGGACGGAGATACCACAACGGACGAGGATCCGTCGCCACAGCGCCTGCCGGCGGTGACGATGCGCCAGGTGGTGAGGAAACCGGCGCCCAGACCCGCTGTCACGCGTCCTCCGGGCAATTTGCTGAACAAGAACGTGCCGCGACTCGCGACGCGCACCATGTCAGAGTCTGGCGACACCGAGGAGCATCTGATTGAGAAGATCATGGCGAAGAAGTTCAATCCGCGCCGCCGCACATTTGAGTATCTGATCAAGTGGATGAAGTTCAGCTACGACGAGAACACGTGGGAGCCGCTGCAGCATCTGGACAAGTGCTCAGCCCTGCTGGCGGCCTTCGAGAGCCAGCTGGCGTACCAGAAGGAGCAGCGCGCCGCCAAGGCGGCCGAGGAGGCGTCCAAGTCCTCCGACGGCGACTCCCCGTCGCGCCCGCTGAGGAACTCCAAGGCGAAGGCGGTGCAGCAGGTGAAACAGTGGTGCACGGACGAGGAGAACGTGGCAACGAAGAGGAAGAACGAGGACAGCGACTTTGAGCTGGAGGACGAGGCGTCCGCGGACGACCAGCCGGCCAGGAAGATGGCCAAGAGCGATGCCGTGAGCCAGGCACTGCAGCGCGCCGGCCAGTCGGGCACCGTGCGGATCGTGCCGGTGAACAGGAGCGCCCAGGCGGTGCAGAAGCCCACCGTGAACGGCGCCTCGGCGAAGGTGGAGAAGAACTCGGCCGAGGTGGTGATCACGAGTGTGAAGGACAAGCCGACGGGCGTGATGAGGAAGCCAGGAGTCACACAGAGCACGGCGCTGGCCAAGAAGGAGGCTCAAGTGCACGTCGTGAGTCGCGGCGAGACGATGTCCAGTGGGATTGTGCGGATTGCGCAGGGCAACTCCAGCCAGGGTGCCAAAGTGATGCCCAAACTCGTGCCGCGCGTCGCTCAGGCGCGTCCAGTCGTGCGTCCGGGCGTTACGGTGAGCCGCACTGTCGCCGGGGCGCCGCAGCGCCAGCAGGTGCTGCGGCAGGTGTCGCCGCAGCAGCCGATAGTGCGCAACCAGACCATCATCCGGAGGAGTGTTGCCACGCCGCCGCAGGGACGCGCCGTGATGTCGCGGGTGGTGAAAAGCACGCCCAGTCCGAAGGCCGCGGTCGTGGGGCGCCAGCAGCCGGAGATGAAGGTGGTGCGCAGGAGCAAGGGAAAGGAGGACGAGCTGTCCGGGGAGGACATGGAGGCGTCCAGCGGCAGCCAGGAGACATCGGCCAGTGTGGAGTCGACGTACACGCTCTGTCCGACCACGGGTGAGCTGAAGAAGCCCGGGCAGGAGGACAAGAAGGAGGCGAAGAAGGACGAGGAGGAGAAGAAGGACGCCGACACCGTGACGGCCATTCAGACGGAGGACGGGCAGCTGCAGCAGCTCATCGCGAATGAGGATGGGAGTCCTGTTCTGGTCACTGGCGAGGACGGGACCATTTATCAGGTGGCCGGGAAGAATGCCGAGGGACAGACGCTGCTCATAGCCCAGGGAGGCGACGGAGAGCAGCAGTGCGTGTACGTGGCGGCGGAAGATGGGGACGAGAGTCTTCTGGCACTTTCCGGAGAGACGGTTCAGGTGAGAAGATCTCTTCTGTCTGCAATGTGAAAGGCCGCAGTTCTAATGCTGCTCTTTCTGATGCTTCCACAGGCCGAGAGCGGCGGGCAGATTGTGCTGAAGGAGGACGGAGGCGACGGAACAGTGGATCCTGGGCAGCAACTCGTGATCTCCACAGACAGCGACTCCCAGGATGGGAATATCACAGCGGAGCTGGTGCAGGCGGACATGCCGTCGCCCGGGGGCACGCGTCGCGTCGTCCTCATGCTGCCGGACGGGAATTTCATGATGACGGAGGTCAAGTTCTAGAAACCTGACCCACTAACACCCCACCCTATATTTAAGCGCCGCGCCCCCAAATTTGAATTTCCCGCGAACTCCTTCCGCGCGGAAAGCTCTGGAAAAGCTCGAAGCCCTGCTGCAGAATCGCCTCAGCATCTCAATTCGAGTGCGTGGGAGGAAAATGAATATACCTAGAGTAGATAACATTTCATGAGAATTAAATAAATGAACTTTCCTCATTTCCCTCGTTTTCTTCGCTAATTCTTCGTGAGAAAAGCGCATTTTCTCAGACGGCAGCGCCACGCGCGGCGGACACGGGCGACGGTGGTCTAAAAGTAGGGCAGCCAACTCGTCGAGTCAAAAACTTCCAAGCTGTCAGAAGTCACGTCGCAGTTTTCGCGTTTTCCAAGCTGATAAAATCACCCAAAAGTGTCTCATCCGGGCATCTTTCGCGTGATTTAAGTGGTGTGTGACACGGACTGTCTGCGCAGTTGCTCAAGCGTGCCGCGAAGGAGTGTTGTGCGTTTCTGTACGGAATCCGGCTTCCCTCCAGCACAGCATCAGGTATGGCAAGGAGGGCGAGTGGCTGCCCGTGTCCGTCCGTGGGGGCGGCGAGGATGACTGTGGTGCCGCCGCGGGGGCATTTGCATGGGAAAGCGTGGAAATTGTGGTGAAAATGGGGACTATTCTGAGAGGGGCGACCGGAGCGCCACCACTTCGACGAGTTTGGCTGCTGGCGCTGTTACGTGGCGGCTCAATGGCCGCCGCTGGTGGCGGTGTGTGTGTGAATTCTCCAAATTTTCTCACTCGCCATCTCGCTCGCGCCCGCGGCTGGTGTATTGGGTGTGGAAGTGAGAGAGAGGAGGCGTATCGCCTACTCACACTTGCACACGTCACACGTACGTCCGCCATTTCGTCAGTTTTCATTCATTAGCCAGAGCAATCCGAGGAGTGCGTTCAATTCGGAGGTGATTTGGGGCGCTCTTTCCTTTGTCCACCAACGTAAGTCACACGCGAAAATGCACCCCAACACACCATAAGCACCTTGGTGGTGTTCTCCGTGCGGAAAAGTGTGTAGATACTGTGGAAAGTGGCAATGAAAAATGGGCGAGGAGCAGCGCCTCTTTCGACCAGTCATCCATAGTGTGTGTTGGAGGCTTTTTCCACATTAGCTTTGCCCTGCAATGGGAAAATCCCTGGATTTTCCCACCAGTGATGGGGCAAATTGCTGTGGGGAAGGGTGCGCTCACAATTGCCACTCTTCGAGGGTGGGTTTTCCGGGCGCCCCAGCGAAACTCACCGATCGCTTTCAGCCACATGTCCGGAAAGTGTCTTCCGGACACTTGGTAGACATTTCCATATTGTGACTCACCGCGGAGTTTCATAATTCAATGCACACGCACTTGAGCGCCTCATTTCAGCACACTTTCCGGGCCCCACGAGAGGCTTTTCTCGCGGATTTTCCACCCTCGCACACACGGTGAAGTGTGTGTGTGGAAAAGGTCAAATGTCAGAGAAGCTGTGCAAAGTTTCCGAACGCAAATCTTGACGACGTGGAATCGCAAGAATGCTCGTTAGACACTTTTTGGCCGACTTTCTTCAGTGAAATTTCATCTTTGTGCTCCGCAAAGTGACTCAGACGTTGGCGAAATTCACAGAAATCTCAGCTAATCTGATGCCTTTCGCGCAGAAAACATCATTTAACCGTGAAATTGAATATTGAGTCACTTGAGAAAATGGATTTTTTTTTGGGAGATTTTGTGGTGGAAAAATTGTCTCAATGATAACAAAATGCTTTTTTTTACATGATGATTCCAAACTGTTCCCAGATAGAAAGAAAAAGCTGATGGTGAACAAAATTGTTTCAAGACGGGACTGATAAAGAAAAAGCATCAATTAAAAGAATGCGCGAACAGAAAACCTTCGTTGTCAACAAAAAGTTTATCTTTTTCTCTCTCTCTTCTTTCAGATTGTTGACGGTTCATTGAAGTGAATTGATCGGCTTCCAAGATGGGAAATGTCTTTGCGAATCTATTCAAGGGATTATTTGGGAAAAAGGAGATGCGGATATTGATGGTGGGATTGGATGCAGCTGGTAAAACTACAATTCTGTACAAACTTAAATTAGGTGAAATTGTTACAACGATTCCCACAATTGGTAAGATCATTTTTCTTTTAATCAATTTTTACATACTTTTATTTTGCGAAGAAGCAAGAAAGAAAACAACACTCTCTTTGCTCATTGACTCGCTCTGATGATTTGTGGGTGCTTTTCATTTGTCGGTCAGTTGAGAGATTCTTCTGATTTTTTTTCTCTCTCTCTCTCTTTCATGGCAGGTTTCAACGTCGAGACTGTAGAATACAAGAATATTAGCTTCACAGTATGGGATGTTGGCGGCCAGGACAAGATTCGGCCACTGTGGCGGCATTATTTCCAGAATACACAAGTAATATTTGCATAGCGTTTGACTGTGTTGTGAGCGAATTGTGGGTTAATTTGCGTGAATTTCTGCACAGGGTCTCATATTTGTGGTGGACAGCAATGATCGGGAGCGTATTGGTGAGGCCAGGGAAGAGTTGATGCGCATGTTGGCTGAGGATGAGCTTCGAGATGCAGTTCTGCTTATATTCGCCAACAAACAGGTTCAGTATCGCCATTTACTGCAATGACAAAAGACAGAGAGAAGAAGATGGCGTTAATGGTGGACTTTGTGTGTTGTCTGTGTTTGCAGGATCTGCCAAATGCAATGAATGCCGCGGAGATCACTGACAAGCTAGGACTGCATTCCCTGAGAAATCGCAATTGGTACATCCAGGCAACGTGTGCAACGAGTGGCGATGGTCTGTATGAGGGTCTCGATTGGCTGTCCAATCAGCTGAAGAATGCCAATCGCTAAACAATTTGCGCGAAATGTGGGGAAATCGCACGCAAGAGAGAGAGACATATTTTTTCAGATATAAAAAGGACGGAAGATGATTAAAGTGTAAAATTTTCATTAAAAAAAAAGAGAGTAACAAGAACAGAAGACGCAGAACAGCCAGAGTGGAAGAACAAGTGAAGAAAGAGCCCAATTTTGAAAGCGAGAAAGATGATAAAATATATTAGCAAAAAGAAGGATTTCAGAGAGAAAAAGAGAGAGAGAGAGAGGATTTTTATTTATGAAAAGCACGGAAAGATTCTAAGCAGACATTTAAAAAATAGAAGAAGAAACAATGGCGAAGAAACCGAGACGCGAGGATACACTTAAACACTTTAGAAGATGGATTTATATAGAAGTAATAAAGATACAGAAATATTTAAGTTATATATATAATGAGGAGAAATGTGAGCAAAAAAAATCATTCACACATCAAATTGAGGAGAAAAGAGAGAGAGAGAGAGAAAACAGTAAAGAGAAAACCACATACACATAACCATAATTTGTGTAAATTTTAAGGATTATTATAAAAGAAAAAGTAAAATATATGAATAATAAAAGGATTTAGCATTATATAAATATGATTAATGAGAAAAATGGATTTATCAGTCGCGCCAATCAGGTCTTTTTACAGAGAGCCTATTCTTTTTTTCTACACAAAAACTTTCTTTTGTCATTCTTTTGTCGAGGGAAAAAAAAATGCGCGTGAAAATTGTATAAAAAAAAAGAAGAAAGATGAAAAAATTTCCGGAGAAAAGCATGGATAGCAAATGAAAGTATACTTGATTTTTATCCCTCCTGTTCTGTTCAAACTGCAAATGCTGTGTTTGTTTTCCGTATTATTCCAGTAAATTTAAAAGAAAAGAAAAAAAATGATGATGAAGATGAAAAAAATGATGCGTAATGGAAAATATAAATAAGAATGAACAATAAAATATTGAAAGAAATATAATGTGAGTGACATTTTCACTGTTTTTCCTGCATTTATTTCTCCTAAATGATATAAAATGTGCTACGTGTCTAGAAAAATGACGCAAGAATTTATACACACACTTTTTCACATTTGTCAGGGTTCTGTTTCTTAACACACATGTCCACTTATAAATATGATCTTACTGTGTTTTATTTTCCTTCTTTTCTTCACTGCAATTGTGAAACAAGTCTTTATTTTTCTAGATAGGAATCATTATATCGACGTAAGAATTTAGGGCTTAAATGTAAAATGTAACAATTTATTCATTTTAAAGATGAAGAGGATTAGTTAATGAAAATAGTTCCACTTTTTACTATTAATTGATTAATATTCCGAAATAAAAACAAGTAATTGTAAGAATTTTGACTCTTTTTTCGCACATTTCTAAACACGTAGCATTCATGGGATTTTCGGGGGACTTTTCCCGTGGCGCAAGTGCCGAAGTGTCCTTGCATAACGGATGTATTTTGAATTCTGCCGCGCGGCGGATTTGAATTTTCAAGGGAAATTTTGGGGTTGCCCGATGACGACGCGCGCTGGCAATACGTTTTGCGACTTGACAACTCACTTTAGCTGAAAATTTTCTCCATTTGCCTTATTTCGCGGAAATTCTGCGTATCCGGGGAGTTTTTGCCAAAGAAATCACAGGGAAGACGCACGAATGTCTTCTAAGAGCGCCAGCAAGAGGTTCAAGTGGTCTCTGGACTACTCGTCGAGGTGAAAATCGGCAAAAAGCAGGGAGTGAGGTTAGGACGAAGGTCTGATGAAATTCCTCCTTTTCACGCGACAGATCCCTGGCCAGGAGCGGCGATGTCGCATCACCGCCAGGCTACAATCCCACAGTGGGCCAGAGTCACAGCGAGGTGGCGAAGGACACGGACCAGAATCACCTGATAATGAAGAAGTCGTGGGACTTGGCGCTGGGCCCCATCAAGCAGGTGCCCATGAATCTCCTGATCATGTACATGTCGGGCAACTCCATCTCCATCTTCCCCATCATGATGGTGGGCATGATGCTGATACGGCCCATGAAGGCGCTGTTCTCCACCGGCGCCACGTTCAAAGTGATCGAGGGCACGCAGGTGGCTGGCCAGAAGTTCGTCTTCCTCCTCGGCAACCTGGTGAACATGGGCCTGGCGCTCTACAAGTGCCACAGCATGGGCCTCCTGCCCACACACGCGTCCGACTGGCTCGCCTTCGTGGAGCCCCAATCGCGCCTTGAGTTCTCCGGCGGCGGAATGTCACTGCTGTGAAGTTCAACGGCGCGCAGTGAAGGACACACAGAAGAGCCAGAGTTATCGCTAATATTATAATTGGTACAATTTTGCCCTAAATGTAAGCATTGAGAGGAGTATCTCTTGGCGTTTCCCTCAGCCGCCGGGATTGGGGGCCCCGGATTAGTGCACAAGCACACACAACAGGCAGTCACAGGGGGGCAACAGGCTCACTTTTTCTTCTGCTGCTCTATGTACTCCTGCACCTTCTCCACCAGCTTCCCCGGCTCATCCATGCGGGGCACCTCGTAGTTCTGCGAGATGTAGATGCCGCAGTACACTCCCGCGCCAAAGGTGAGCTAAAAATAGTCCCGGACACTCATTATGCAATCCAGCGCGCAGCGATCGCCCTCCGGCCACCTGTCCAGTCACTCCAGGCATTGCGCGAGACTCACCAGAAATTTCAGCATCTCGGAGATTATTCCAGTTTCGGCCACTTTGAACGATTAATACAGCCGCTGATAAAGACTAGCTTATCCGGACGTCAGTCGACGACATAACCTCACAAGCAGTGCGCTCTCGGCGCGCCACCTGGCAGCTGGAACTGCAAAAGCCTATTGATGTTTCATTAAACAACACCGTGAAACACGATGGCGCGAATCTGCAAACAAAGGCGTAAATGTCCGGAAAATTGCTAAACAGTTTTATTGATCTTCCCAATCACTTCACGCTCACGTTCTTCAGTGTCTGCGCACGAACGACACCCTTTCCGGGCACCTCGAGGGCAGCATCCCTGAAGCAGGCCACCAAATCGCTGTTCGTCTTCAAGTCCGGCGCGCAGGTCTCGAAGATCTTCTTCTTGGGATTCAGCTGGGCGTCTGGGCAGCGCTCGAAGCCCTGACAGTGCACCAGATCGCCGGGAAGCGCCCCGGCGGGCGGTGACAGCACCTCAACCTTGTCCGGCGAGGAGGCGCACATGACCATCGCCTCCGAAGTGACGCCTCGCATCTTGGCCGGCTTAAGATTGCACAACACCACCACAAGGCGATCCTTCATCTCCTCCAGAGGCACGAACTTCACCAAGCCGGACACGACAGTGCGCGGCTGAGGCTCGCCACAGTCGATCTTCTCCACATACAGACTGTCGGCGTCCGGATGGCGAGCCACATCGACAATCCTGCCCACGCGGAAGTCCAGCCTTCCCACGTCCACGGGGGCTTCCGGAGCTGCTGGAGGCTGCGCCGGCTTCTCCTTTTTGGCTTTCTTCTCCGCCGGGGGCTTCTGCTCATCATTGATGACCGCCGGAGGCTTCACGGCCTGCTCAGCTGGCTTCGGGGCAGCGATTGTGGCGGATTCTCCGGGAATGGGAATCTGCGGCCTGCCATTTGAGCACTCTAGCTGAATCAGGCGCGCCTTGGCCTTCTCCACTTCCTGTCGGAGGCGTGCATTCTCCTCCTGCAACTCCTTCTTCCGCTGCTCCACTTTCATTCCGCGGATGGCATTGATCTGCTCGGGCGAGAGGAAGTGAGGTTAAACAGGCAAGTCGGCTTCAATGTCACTCACTTCAGTCTTTAGGGATGAGATCAGATCCTCAGCCAGCTGATTGTTAGCAATCACACGCTGCAAAGCACTCATTTTATGTGAAATCAACGGGAGAACGCGACAAATTCTCGTGGGCAGAAAAACATTCATCAGCACTTCTGCGCAGTGCAGCCAACTGTGTGGCGAGCCGGCGAAAAGAGTCTATCGGCCGTGAGAGGCGCTGCTGGCGGGGAAAAGGTGGGAATTTGCGCCAAAACGCAGCGAAAAAACCCACACACAAAGCGCCTAGACAATTTTTGCACTTTTTGCAACTCTTTATCTGGAGTTCTTGGCGAAACGGCAATAGCAAAGGCATGGCGAGGTGCTCCTCTCTCCATGGGAGATCGCTGAGTGATCGTGAGGTGGCGCGAAGGGGCGCAAAGCGCTGCTGCCCAGCGTATGAGCGCGGCTGGGAGTGCAGAAGTATGACTTCTTCAGTTCCCATTTGACTGCCATCGTGACTGGTTGGATAGCGCGATCACGCGAGCCTTGGCAAGTTGTTGTTGTCCGTGCAGAGAAAAAACGCACAGTGGTTACGCGATCTTTGCGGAAGAGGAGCAAAGGAAAGAAAAGTTTGCAGTGAAAACTTATGAAAATTCAGTGTGTCTTCAGTGCATTGAGAATAATTTAGAGAAAAAGAGAGAGAGAGAGATGCGGTGATGGTAAATAAGAATTGTCTAGAGTTGCATTTGCAAGAGAATTTTCTCTACTCGGGTTTCTTGATCTCCGTGATCTTGCGCTGCAAGCGAAAGAGACAAAGAGGAGATGCGAAGGTGATGGTAGAAGAGCGAATGAGAGAGAGGAAGACCTTAATTTGATTGCGTGAAAGTGCGCTATTTCATTCAATTATGGCTTCTTTGAATCTGGTGGACAAAGCATTAGACTCAAAGAGGCTGAGATTGTGCCAAGTGATGAATTGGAATTAAGTAAATCCATTTGGGAGGTTTCCTTGACGCATTTCCTTCTCGTCTTGAGAAATTGAAGCGTTCTAAAGAGTTGCACAAAAGTGTGAGATTTCTATGGATTCCGAGAAATCTTCACCAAGAATGGAAACTCGGTGGAATTTTCAGCTGTAATTTCAACATTCTGTGCAAAATAATCATTATTTGGATGGCCTTTGAATTATTATTTGACATGGCAGAGAAAGTTTGACTCTCTAATTTTTTTTCGGACACTCGGTGGCGTTCTGGTCGATGAAAGGGACGCGCTTGACGCGTTTTATCTAGCTTTTTCGGACATTTTTTCTTTCTTAGGTGAGATTTGTGAAGAAAATCAATATTTTTCCATCAGTTCTCATCGAGCAATTCAACCGGAATGGCAAGTTGAGTGTTTATATTTGCGGCTCTTCAGGAAAACACTGCCAAATTGCGAGTGATGCTTGAGGCAAAAAGCCGTGCAAAGAAGCATATTGTTTATTCTAGAGAGACACACAAAAATTCCACTAAATTTCATTGTCACTTTGTGAGTTTCTCAGACACACACGGTGGGAAATATATTCTTTGTCTCGATCATCCAATTGCGTGTCACGATCAAGCATAGTGACAAAGTCTTGGACATGCCATACAATCGGGCGCCACACTTTGAGTCACATCAGCGGAAGTTCTTGTGAGTGGGATTTAGCGTGTGTAAGAGAAGTGATTCGCAGTGATCGTGAAAGGGAAAACAGAGAGTTGCGAACGTGTTGTGCGATGTTTGTTTTCTCGCTATGCGATGTGTTAAAAGGAAAATTAAAGAAAATAAACTGTTTATCTATATCGGACGGACAAACAGTCATTCAGCGCACGATTCGCAATATCGCAATCCAGAGTGCATATGGTTGGGAGAAACAGGGCAAACGCGAGACTGTGATAAAGATGTATCACTCGACATTCCCAGAAAGACAAGAGAATGATGGAGAGAATTTCGCATGTTTCAGGAATTGAGGGTAAAATATTATCTTTTGTGCATATGGAAAGCTCGATTTTTTCTCATTATTTTGTACAATTCTTGCACTTATTATCGCTCATTTCTCAATTTTTCCCATTCTTTGTCATCTCCACTTGCCATTTGTGATCCTACGTCACTGCACTTGTGGCTTTTATCGAGGCGCGACTGGCATTACTTGGGTGGTGATCATGGAATTCCGAGCATTGCACTTTGTATTGCTCTCAGTCTTAAAATATCCCGCGCGATCTCTGATCACGATCACCTTGCAAGAGTTGGAAGAAATGGTGTGAAATTGAGCCACAGGGTCAAGTTTGCCGAGAAGATTGATTAGATATGGAAAATGGGTTCTTTGGGATGATTTATTGAGTGATGCTTGAATAATTGCCCATATAAGATGATCGTGACACATTTCCAAGACTATTCGCTGCATTTATTTATCGCTTTCTGCACTCAGAACCACACAAACCGATAAAATTTCGCTTGGTGTGTTGTTTGTGACAAAAGAGTCTTCATGAGAAGTTGGATAATGAGGTCACGTTTGTGATCTTCAGAGTGTTTCGTTAGGTGTGATGTTATTCAAATCTCTCTTTTTCGCAATGACGACTTCTTCGTCATTTTGTCTCGCTGGAGAATTCTATTGGTTGCGATCTGAAGCACGTGGATGAATTTTCATACCAATGAATTAATCATCTCTCACGCGATCATTGCACTTTTCGGAACGGGTTTGAGCAAAAATTCGGGGTATAAAAAGGTCAGCAAAAATTTCAGAGAATCTTAGTGTGGAGAAAGACCTTGATTGTGATGCACTTCTTGCTCGTGAGTGCCTTTGTGGTGTTCTTTTGCCGTGTTAATGCTGGAAATCAGTATCGGAATAACTATGTTCGGGAATATTACTATTGGAAGGACGTTGAATTTGAAGATTTGCCTTTGAAAGGTGAGAAAATGTCTAATTTCGTGAGATAGTTTAGGTTTCGATGGCTCTATTTGACTTCCAGAGGATGCCTATATCGGAAACTATCCTTACTTCGTGCCATCTAACAACGACGTTCTAGGCTGTGCTTATCATGCTCGAAGTCAGATCATGTTCGCGACCATTGGCAGACTTAGAGAAGGCATTCCATCGACTCTGAATGCCTTCTGCACGAGTGACTACAGAAACGGCTCCAGTCCTCATCTTTGGGGTTTTCCCAACTACGAAGTCAACACGTTGACAGATTCCGATTATGATGAACAAGGCGATTATAGGCACAAACAGTCATCACAGCCGGCCTACACTGAAGAAATCCTCCGCTTCATCTCAGTTTACCACCCAACTGTCGATGACAAGTGCGATAGAGTCTTCCTTCTCGACACTGGAGTGATTAGAACGACAGATGACAAACGTTTCCATGTCCAAAAACCATCAATTATCGTATTTGGACTTCCGTCTAATGGCTGTGCTTCGAGGAATTTTCCCTTGATTCAGAAGATTGAGATTCCTGACGAGCTCTACAATGATCCTCTTGGTATCGTCTACCTACATCTGGACTTCCAGCCGAAGGGTGGCTGTGATGATCTGATGATCTACATTACCAACACCTTCGATCATTCCATCATCGTTTTTGACTATGCCAAGAACGATTTCTGGTTATTCGCCAATCACTCATCACTCGTTCCGGTGCCAGGCGAGGATCAAATTGGAGACTACGTGATTGAGTATGGCATCCTCTCTGCCACCCTAGGCTGGCCAGATAAGAAGGGCAACAGGATATTCTACTACGCTCCCGGAGCCAGCACAGCAGGATACGCCGTGACGACGAAAACGCTGAAGAACCGGCGCAAATCCTCGGCACACTACTATGGCAGTGAGTTCAGAATTGTAGGCTACCTAGGCTGTGCTGGCAACAATCACAGGCTATTCTTCGATCCCACTTGTGGAGTTATGTTTTTCGGTCAAATGAACTCCGGCGCTGTGAAGTGTTGGAACGTGGCGAAGCCCTACAATCCTAGCAACATAGCAACGGTTTTCCAATCGCAGGACGACGAACTGTTTACGGACGTGTTTGTGGACAGTGAAGGCTACCTTTGGATGCACTCTAGCAAAGTGCACAAGATTCTGGCTTCGCAGGAGCCTCTTGATCTTCATCAAGTCAACTCGGCGACGTACAAAGTGAAAGTTCAGGACGCCATCAGAGGGACAGTTTGTGAAAATGATGGTTATCCTGATGATGAAATAACTTGGCAATACTTAGTTGAGTAGATCTGCTTAAATAAAACATTAGTTCGATCAAGTTGATCTTTATTTTGCAGTATTAAAGAAGATTCGGCAAACTAGTGAGATTCGATCCAGAGTATCTAGGCTTCACATTCGCCCTCCTCCAGGCTGTAGCAACCTGATGATTATTAAGGAAAACAATCAATAAGTCTTTGATTGAGCATAGTTTCTGGAATAGAATTAATATTTACGTTTCTTTCTCGCGCACATGGCGTTGAAGGCTTCACAGGTGTTTTCGTAGGTCTCAGGAGCAGAACCATCGAGATTTGTGCAGCAAACTGGCTCCTTAACATCCGCACACACTCTTTCCTCGCACTTGTCCAGACTTTCTGCATCGCAAGGTCCGTTTGTCATAGATTCACATCCTAGAAGGGAAGTTCTAGATTAGACAATTTCTTTCAGGTTTTGTGATGTTAAAGTTACTCGTTTTCTTCTTGCAATTCGTGATGTCGGCATTGCAAGCATTGCTGAAGGTTTTGAAGGTTCCTTGGTCATAAGAACAACAGACAGGAGAGTAATTAGCCGTGCAGAAATCACCACATTCCTGAGTTTCTTGACCTGAGAACACATGATTCCACTTATTACTCAATTACTCCAAACACATGATTGTCTTTTTGTTACCAAGCGTGAGCGCAAGAAGAGCGAAAAAGCACATGAAAGCTATCATTGTCACTGGATAACTGACGGAAAATAGTGTGATTTTTAGCTTTTATAGTGGCTGAAACTCTGAATTGGGGAATTCCCTGATGAGCTTCAAGCAATAATGATTTATTTGAGCAAGTTTGGCGGCCAAGAAAGGCAAATATATAGTTATGCTAATGAAACCACTGAAACTGAAAATTCTTCTTAATTTTTTTTTAAAGTGAATTCTGAAAGAAACTCACTTCTTAGCATGATAAATATAGGTTAAGGAGTTAAGATTACTCGTGCAGATTGATAAAGACTACGATATCTGTATTTTTGAGTGCAATAAACTCTGAAAGTCAAGGTTGATTGATTGGCAAATTCGCACAAGATGTGTAGAATTGGGGAAGAAATAATAAAGATTTCGTGTTTAGACTGGTCTATAAAGTAGGAAGAATAATAAAAAATTTATGATGCATACATATTCTTCATAATTAAACATAAACAAGGTAAAGAAAAAAAGCTCTATAAATGCTTTTAACTTTGGCCTTTTTGATAAGGGAAAAAAACTCAAGTAAATATGCTGCATTTGAGTGCCAACTCTTGACGCAAAACAAACACTCATCGTGATGACCAGATTGTGGGACATTCATGTAATCCTCAAGGATGTTTCGTATGGGCAAATATTTTCTCTCAGTGCAGCGAAACTAGCATTTCACTGAACGACAGACGGCAGAATGCGATGTCTTTACGTGAATTCCTTCTTGTTTGCCTTTTTTTTGCCTGTGAATCTGGAATAACATTATAAGAAATTATGATGAATATATTCAGGAAGTGAGAACGGGTAAACACGGAGTCTGGTGCGAAATCTCGATCACCTTGATTAAATGCCTGACGAGATTGACAAATTATACGGAATAAAGTTCTACACTGCGTGATCGTGAGAATGTTTTTCCCGCCAACGAGCGCATTTGAACTTTCTACCGCGGAAGATCACATCACACGCATCGGAAGTCGCGCCCGTTGAAAGTGGGTCAAGTTTGCACATGATCATGTTGTGGCGCGATAATGTGCCATTTTTTTTCTCGACCTTATCGTCCGCCTGGGCAGGACAGCGCGAGAAAAAATTGGAGCACCATCAGAGCGATCATACAGTATGATCATACAATGATCGCCAGCTGCTGATCTGCGCGATGCAGGCATTCATTAGCCTCGAATGCATGTTGCACAATTTTCCGCAAATAGGCAATTTCAGCGGCTAGTCATGGAATTCGGTGGATTGTTGACGAAGATTGCAAAATTCACTTCCACTCTCGATCGTGATCAACAAGAGGATCATTGAGCAATTGGGCGAGTCGCCTGAGGAAGTGGACCTAAATTGGTTGTCTTGTCGCGCGCTCTGTAACAACTTTACAATTCTTTTTTCCTCTCTGCTCTTGCCATAGAGACCAGAAATCTCGCCGTGGCACGATCATCTCACGATCACACACCTTTGAAAACGCACTGGCTTGTGAAACGCACTTGGGTTTTTTTTTCTCTCTCGCAAACTCCGTGAAAAGCGACGAGTATTTCTATTATTTGCACACTGTCGATCAAACAAGTGGTGATGCTTGAAAATAGTGTCAACTTTCACCGTAAATAGGCACTTGGTGGAGGAATTTAGAAGTGGCGGTGATCTTTTCTGATGGATTTCCGCTCATTCTCGCGATCAACAAGATTATCTTGTTTCTTGGGTGGATTTTGCAACGTCTTGACGGGATTTTCATGGGGAAAAAATCAAACGTGTTTGGGTTTTTCGCATGCACTTCGCCACAGTCAAAGAACACGCATGCCAAGAGTCATCCGATAAGTGGTAATTTCCGATGATCCATCCGTGTGATGCCGTTCAATTAGAGAGTCGAAAAGAATTCTGGGAGAACCCTCACATTTGCATAAGCAATCGCAGCAATGTAAAATTATCGGGATGATGTGTAATCTCTTCTGGAGCTCAGACCAAACATTGTCACTTTTTGCACGCCCTCTTGGCCTATTGCAAGTGTTTCTCTGAGATTAGCTGTTGATAGAGAGATTCGAGCATGTTTTCAATGCTAAGGGAAATTGGCGGAATGCGAGAAAAAAAGCGTCTCTGCTTGTGTCAAATGTCGCGACAAAACACAAGTTGAAACTGGAAAATTAATCCAATAATTGATAGTTTTGCGCGACTTTGCATTCTGAGTGCGAGAAAATCCAATTGAACCTTCAAGTGTGAATTTTCTCGAAAGAGTCACAAACAGTTACAAAGGTGCTGAACAATGTCAGGAGAATGCATTCTATAATGCTGAAACTGTTTCTCTGGCAGCTGACTTTGAGGACAATCGCAGTCAATTAGCGACAAACGGGTCAATTTGCAATTGCAAATCATGTTCAACATCGAATCAAATGAAGTTGCGAGAGCGCAAACTGAATGAAAAAAACATCTGTAAGTCATAAATTTAAGGAGCATCGCGCAGTGGAGGAATTAAAAATAAACGAGTTTCTCTCTGTGGTGATGTTTGAGTGATCTTGGGAGCTCAAAAAATTTCGCAAATTGCTTTTATAGCCATTTTATTCTTTGTCCATTTGAGGAGGAAAATAGCTTTTTACTGCCGAATTCTTGGCTATTCCTTAATTGCACTGCTTCTTTTTTTGCAGGCTTCGAGACGTCGCGAATTTGTGAGTGATCGCGCATGCGATCATAAAGCGTTTATAAGAAAAATATGAAAATAAAAATAGGGAAATAATGGTTTTTATCATTGTGTAGTTTTTTTTGTGTAGCAACATGAAAGCACGATCGTATTTTTATTTGATGTAATGATCCTCAAGTTGAAGATCACTCGATCACAGCTTGTTTTCCATTTAACACATTTTCTCAATTATCTCTTTGCATAGAATCACACTGATAAAACATGCAGAATCATCGTGAATAATACTATGAATTAAGAGGCATTTGAAGCATTTAATAATAAAATAAATGACGCGCGATCACTCGGAAAATCTCATTCATTCTCTTTAGTAATTCTATCCGACAATCATTGTGGATTTTTCATATGAATGTGCCAAGTACATTGTACTTGATAAAATTGCTGAAAGCTAATTAATTAAAGCCCACAAAGTGTGGTGAAAAAATAAATATCATCTCGTCTCATTAGAAATTAATTTACAATTATAATATAATCGATAAATCACTTCCTCTCAATTAACACCGTCAATTGAGCACATTCTTGACTGTGTATTCTTGTGCAATCCTCACGAGATCTTATCGCATTCAGGTGATTCTGGACAACCTGACGATGGCGTCACGATTTCGCGCTGTGATCTTGAGATTGACATGAAAATTTCTTATGCAAATGTATCTCTATAATCTCCTTTTAATCTCGACAAAAATATGGATCTTCTCGCTAATTTTCAACGTCTCTCTTCTCTCTGTTGTGTCCCCAGGAATATTGCATGATTGATACGGTGAATTTGCGTAGTTGAGCGTAGAAAAGCATCTTGTGTGTGAAGAAGTACGTGGAAAAAAAATGTTCAGAAATATAGAATTTCAAGAGATTGTCTACACAATAAAGGAAAGGTGGCAATTTGGTGAGTTTTTTTCTTGTGTAATTCACGTCTAATTTCCCATTCAAATGAATCCGCCTCTCTTTGCCTATTCAATTAGCGTGTCTCGAGTGATTCTCAAGATGTTCCACTCGAGTGAGAATGCGAAATGTCTCTTTATTCTGTTATTCCTCTGCAGGAAAGACGAGGCAGAAGAGATGCCTTCTCAAGGGTGTCACCGGCTTCTTCCCGCAGGGACAACTCACGGGCATCATGGGTCCGTCAGGAGCGGGCAAGAGCAGTCTTCTGAACGCCATTTCGGGCTTCAGGTGAGTTCAAAATGCATTTTTACCGTGGAAAATTGATTCTATTGCATCACATTTGCGCATATGCAAGAATTCGAAGGTAAATTCAACTTTTAGTGACAGTATAATTATGGGAATATTATTATTCTTTGTGAATCATTGACAGATGGGATTGTTCCAGGTGTTCTGAACCATAAATTGTTTACAATTAGTGATGAGGTCAACTTTAGTTTGTAAAATATAATATTGAATTTCCTTTATTTTTGTAAATATAGCGAATTATTTGTATTTATGAATTTTTTTCCCACAAACTTGACCTCTTCTTGTTGAATTTGTGGCTAAAGTCACGGTGAAATTTGCAAAGAAATATTCTGAGACTCATGAAAACTTCATAGGCATTAATTTAATTGAATTCACACACAATTCCAGAACATTTTGTAGTAATTTTCCACTCTTTTAAATACAGTTTCCACTTCTCAATTGTGAGTCTGAAGCTATCATTTGACTGTTTCTCATCGTCTTATCGATTAAGATCTGCCTTTTGAAGGCGCTTTGAATACTAATTTGGAAAGATATTTTGGGTTTATTTTGTAAACGTGAATTCTTTATGGCTATTTTATGCTTCTCCAGACCGGCTTTGTGTTGTCGAACAGAAAATATAGTTCAAAACCTTTCGTCATTGCGACTCTTGCTTTAGGTTTTGTGGCATGAAGAAGAAGAATAACTGGTTTGTCTTTGCGCTGGACATCCTGCTCAAGCCATCATGTATAATTTCAAAGGCTTGATGGAAAATTGCACGGCACTTATAGGTGTAATTTAACTCAAAATTGAATTACACACTGAAGAAATATAATTGCTGAAAATATTGTCGTGCGGTTTGGTGTCTGTTTAGCAACATTTCCTCCAACTGTGCATTTGTAATTATACAATTTTCTGGCCCGAGAAAAAGGCGACGAGCATTGATATTGTGACTCCCGAGACTGCGACCTTTGAAGGTTTTTTCCGTTTCTTTTTTCACCGCGCATAATAAATTTATAATCGCGGCGACGATTGTTGTGTGGAAAATTAGCGAAATGGCCAGAATTAATAAGCGAATGAATAAGAATTTTTGGCTAGACAGTCAGTTATAGTAATTTTTCGGAAATCTGGTGAAATAGCCATCGATCATCAATCGGCAATACCTTTGGCACTGTCACGAATGTCATTAACATAATGAACTCAGGCGATGAATAGCAAGTTGGAGTTGATTGAAAAGACGCTTTGCGTGGTGTATATAAAAACATACGAAAGGTAAATAAGGTCGCTTGGCGTGTGTTTGACTTCGTGTGATTGTGGGAAAAAGTAAATTGAGGCTTTTTTTCCTCTTCCCGCCCGAAAACATTGGCTTTGTGCTGAAGAGAAGTTGCACTCTTCAAGAGTCAATATCCCGAAGGTGTAAAGAAATAAAAAACATGCGATCATGTTGCGAAAACACCCTCAAATTGCATTCTTGCCAAGATTCTTGCACGCGATCTTTGATGCTGAGCGGATATTTTTAGTGGGATTAATAAGCAGTTTGTCGCTTTAACGTTTAAAATGTCAAATCTCAAATACGGAAACATCCGTTTTTAGGCCTTTGCACAACCTTTAATTGCACACAAGCACGACTAATGATAATGAGTGTGGTGGAAATGCAACACAAAAAGTGATCACAATTTGAGTTTTTTTCTCCATTGTATTTGAATTCACGCAGTGTTGATGGCTCTAATCGCCTTAATAATTATTCGAAAATGCGCATTTCTGATGAATTTCTTCATTGACAATCACGCGTGATCAGTTGGATCGCCCAGTGAGTCGCGGGAAGTCCCAAAGCGCAGAAATTCCACCAATTAATGTCTGATAAATTGACACAGAGTCGCGCGCTGTTTCTCTCCGCAGAACGGACGGCGTGAAGGGTGCGATTAAGATCAATCGGAAGGAATCGTGCTACATCACGCAGGATGATCTGCACCAGCCATTGCTGACGGTGGAGGAGATAATGAGTGTGGCGTGCGAGCTGAAGATGAAGAATCCGGTGAACAAGAGCGTGCTGATCGATGACATTCTGCGCAGTCTCAATCTCACGGCCAGGCGCGGCAACACGGCCAAGCAGCTGAGCGGCGGCGAGAAGAGGCGCCTGTCCATCGCCCTGGAGCTGGTGGCGAATCCCTCGGTGCTCTTCCTGGACGAGCCCACGAGTGGCCTGGACGAAGTCACGGCCGCGCAGTGCGTGAGACTCCTCAGGGAGATCACGAAGCAGGGCAAGACGATCGTCTGCACGATTCACCAGCCTTCGGGCGCCATCCTGCGTCTCTTCGACCACGTGAGTGATTATCCCGTGAAATTGCATTAAGTGCCGTCTCCAAGGGGTGAATATGTGTCTCTCAAAGTATGTTGCGAGTGGAAAATAGCGGCAAAGATGTTCTTAATTATTTTAATCAAGATTCTAACCTTCTTAGTTGTGGAATTATTGCTAAAATGTTTCCAAATCAATTCGCAATTTGCACTCAATCATTGGCAATGCAGAAGAAATTTCTCTATATTGAAATTACTTTGAATATGAATTTAACGATCAAATTCCACTGATAAGAAGGAAGGTTGAAAAAGTGACTCATCTCAAGTGTGAACCCAGATATTTTGCCCATAAAATGCTTCACATAAATTCATTGCTTTCATTGTAATTCATCCATTGAAATTATTCACTATTAATGTTTGCTGTTTTGTGCAATTTCTGCTCCTTTTTCCGCTTCAGATGTACGTGCTGGCGAAGGGCGAGTGCGTCTATCAAGGACCTCCACTGTCCATCGTCCCTTTCATGGCGTCGCGCGGCTACGAGTGCCCCAAACACTACAATCCATCCGATTTCAGTGAGTGTCTCAAGCAATTACCGCAACTAATTGTCCCCTTTCCACCTCACGTGATTAATGATCGTGAACAATTTCGCAAGAACAGAAGCACGGCGATCAAGATATGATCGATAATTGAAAGTTTCCTTCAATGCGCGCGCTTCTCTAATTTCTACACTCTGTGCTGACGAAAGTCAGCAATTATTTCTTCACTCCTGGATTTCCGATCTGCAAGAGTGTTTTGTAAAAAGAAAGAAAAAGAAGACTCTCGTGATCATGATCGTGATCGTAACCCAGAAAAGATCACATTCGTTGGAATTGTTTGCTCAACTTTGACTTGTATTCTTCCCTCCCCGGACAGTCATTGAACTCTGTGATGCCGATAACGATGTGATCGCGAGTCTCTCTGAGGCCATCGGCAATGGGAAATCCCTGGTGACGCCCGAGGCGGACAAGGAGGGCAACGCTGTCGGCTTCACGCTGAAGAATGCCGTGACGTCGATGGTGCTGGACACGACGTCGCCGCCGAGATCGTCGATACTGGAGAAGATGAAGGCGCTGAAGCGCTTCGTGAAGAGTGACTATGCGCACTCCAGCTTCCGGCAGTTCCTCGTGCTCACGCGCATGATGCACACGAAGATCTACAGGAACAGAATCGCGCTGGGCATCCAGCTGTTCCACCATCTCATCTGTGGCTCCATGCTGGGCCTGATCTTCTTCAACTCCGCCAATGACGGCGAACGCATGTTCGACCACCTCAAGTTTAGTATTGCGATCGTGTTCTTTCTGTCCTACACGCAAATCATCGTTCCGGTTCTCAGCTGTGAGTATAAAGACTTTATGTGGCCTCAAGATTTCGCACAAAAGTCACGCAAATGCGCAAAGATGATATCAAGGGGGAGCAAGTGTGGTTGAAAATGGTGTAAATTTGCATTATTTGACTCTGCGAAGTGTTTTCTCATCAAATTAGTGCATTTATTTAGATAATTTTGCGAAGGAAAATCAATTCTTCAATTTACACGAGCTTATAGTAATTTTGTGGTGGAAAAACTTGAGAAAACTGAAAAATACTGTTTTAAAGTCGAACATAACCTCAAAATTTATATATTTTCGTATATAAAAAATGACTTTTAAAAGTCTTTTCCCCATTTTTTATTTTAATGAAATTCTTTTGAGTTTTTTTTACGAATCTGATGCCTTCTTAAGTCTCTTTGTAAGACGGAAAAGCCTGGTTGAGATTATGAAAATACATTTTTATTAGAGGCATTTTCAAAGTGCCTGAAGTGTTTGATGAAATTCTGCACAGAAACTGTGAAAGCGATTATTTCCCCCTTGAATAGTATCTGTATGAGAAAATTCACATTTTTGTAGTTAATCTGCTTAACCTTTTAGCGAATTGAGCGAATCACTTCTGCCAGCCCATATAAAAACCTCTTTATCTTTATCTTTATCCATAAAATCCACGCGCTGCTCAACTCTGATATGAAAAACAATATTTCAATCATTAATTCGCAAAACGTGCCGAATTTATGCCATTCTTTTTCCACCGAACAACTCATAGATCCCCTGGAGGTGAAGCTGGTGAAGAAGGAGTGCTTCAACCGATGGTACGGCCTGACGCCGTACTATCTGGCGCTCACGCTCTCTCGCATTCCCTTGCAAGTCTTCTTCAACATTCTCTTCCTGTCGCTCGTGTACTGGCTGCCCGGGCTGCCCATGCAGCTCTGGCGCTTCGGGCTGTTCTCCTTCGTGGGCGTGATCATCTCGCTGGTGGCCGAAGGCCTCGGTCTCACCATAGGCTCCACATTCAGCATCACGGTGGGTCTGGATTGTCCCTTGAAGTGAGAGTTGTGCGTGACTTTATTTCTCCTCTGCAGAACGGCTGCGCCACTGGCCCGATGATCTTGGCGCCGATGCTCGGCCTGGCGATCTACGGCTTCGACTTCGCCGCCGAGATTCCGCTGCAGATGTACGCGCTGATGAAGCTGTCCTTCCTCCGGATAGGCGTGGTGTCGATCGTGCTGATCACATTCGGCTACAATCGCGAGCAACTCGACTGCAACTACATCTACTGTCACTTCGACGATCCCAAGGTGCTGCTGCGCTATCTCAGGATCGAGGAAGTGTCGCTGTGGCACGAGCTGATCTTCCTCTTTGGGCTCATGATCGTCTTCCGCGTGCTGCTGTACTTCAGCCTGCGCAAGAGGCTCAAGTGAGCGCGCGCGCGCGAACGCGACAAACGGTGATATTCGACTTAGAAAGTAATTTTTTTTTATATACAAAGTAGGTGAAAAAAACAATGTTAGATCTTTGGTGACAAAAGTGATTTTTTTTATTATACACACGCGGAGAAAGACAATAAAACAATCGACAGAAGTCATTCACTTCCTCTGTGCAATTTTCTCCTTCCTCTTCTTCACGTGTTTCGGCACTTTTGTCTTGCGCTTCTCCGCCTTGGCGTCCTTCACCGCCTTCTTCCGCGCCTTCTTGCTGTCCGGCGACTCGTCGCGCGGCCGAGCGCTGCTCTGGAACTTCCCACCATCGTCATAGTCATCGTGATCATCACTGAAGGAAGACGAATCCTCCTCGCCAGAGTCTCGCTGCAGAATGTCCGGCACTTGCTTCACTTCTAGCGTCGATGAGAGACCTGCAAAATCACAAAGGAAGGTCAGATACTTTATTATGGAGTTGTTTTCCACCTCCTTTGCCAACTCTTCTTGTCACGCAATTGTGTTTATCCAAAACAACACTGTGTTGTTACAGTGAATATAAGAAGCTTGAATTCTGGGATTTTTGGGAAAAACAGTCAAGAATTTGCACTCAGAGAAATCAGAAAACAATTTTTTTTAAATAATAATTATAATTATAATTTCACTTGACAGAGATTGTGTCAATTTTTACATTAATATTGAGATATTTATTGAGAAAGCGCAGCATTTCTTATTGGGGAAAATTATGCAGATAAGAAAAATAGAAGCTTCTAAAACAATAGTCGCACATTTCTCTTAAAGTAAGAGACTTCGATTATATTTGAAGACACCTGTTTTCGACTGATTTCTCTGAGTGTGCGACTTTCAAAACTTGCACAGCATGTAAATATGTTGCCTTATTTCTTATTTTGCACTGCCCAAATTATCTCTCCGCTCAAATCATGATATTTTACTTTTTGCCCAACGATCTTTGATTGATGGTTTTGGGCAAAAACAACGCCAGCGTTGCTCTCTAAGCAATCTCTAAAGCCATTAAGACACAGAGAATATTGAGGTGAATTGTGAAGGGCACTCACCGGTGATTGTCTTGTAGATGAGCTGATCGCCGGCGCCGGCGCGCGCCTGGCGGATGTCGCGCTCGAAGTGCACCACCTCGTCCAGGCGCTTCGGGATGAAGACACTCTGGAAGACCTCCTCCTGCACCTTCTCCTCGTCTGGCAGATCGTCGAGGTTGCGCTCGGCGATCGTTTCCAGCATCTGCTGCAAGTACGCGTGCTTGTTGGCCTGCGTGATAGTGGCGTCGGTGATGAAGTGGAACAGCTCCTGCACCGTCATCACGGCCACGCCGTGCTTGCGGAAGAACTTGGTGATCTCGCGACAGTCGCGCCGCAGGAACTCCAGCGCATTGGGATGATCGTGCTCCACGGATTGCGACACGTCGATGATCACGAGCTTGTCGCGGTGCACGAGCAGATTGTACTCGGACAGGTCGGCGTGCACGAGGCGACAGAGATTGTACATGTCCCACATGTGATTCACGAGATCGTAGTAGAACTCACGCGCCTTGGAAACACTGGGCGTGACCTGGGCCAGGCGCGGCGCCGCCTCGAAGTTCTCCCCGATGAACTCCATCACCAGCACATTCTCGCGGATCTCCAGCGGCGCCGGCACGGGCAGACCCACCTTGGCCATCCGCTCCAGGTTGCGCTTCTCCTTCTCCGCCCACAGGCGCACCATCTTGCGCGGATTGCGGCGCGCATAGCCGTGCCGGAAGCGAAACTCCTCCGCGATGTACTTGTGCCTGTCCTTGAAGTCCAGAATGGACGTCTTGAAGATCTTGATGGCCAGCGCCTCGTGCGCGTACGCACTGCTCAGCGCCAGGTACACATTCGCCTCCTTGCCCTCCTTGATGTTGCCGGCAATCTTGGTGACTTTGTCCTGGCGGAAGAGCTTGAACAGCACCATTCGCGTGCGATCGTCCAACACCTTGTCAATCGTCGCTCTGTCCTTCTTGTCCTTCAGCTTCGTCCGCTCCGCGTCCACGCGGCGATCGCTCTTGTCCAGGGCCTTCTTCACCTCATGCGCGGCACCCTGGAAGGCGCCCACGTGGATCCGGGAAGAGTACTTCGACATCACGCTCTGACTGGGCTGGAAACTGCTCAATCTCGTCGGCGCGCGCTGTGTGTTCATCCCAGATGACTGCTTCACCATCCCACGATCCTCATACAGCTGCAGATCATCCTCAGGCTCACTGAACTCCTCCTCGTCTGGAGATTCCTCGCCAAACACCTCATCTTCCGGGAGGTTCCTGAAGATTTCGCTGTCTATCGTCGTGACTTCTTTCAATTTTTCCGCCAACTTGTCCAGTATCACCTCAGCCTCCTCCTCGGCATCACTGAACTGTCCTTCCATGACTCTTCACGCACTTTCACGGGGAAAAATGGGAAATTATTTCACAATGCAGCGCAAACATGTTTACACGTGCAAATGACAGCTGGAGATGAGAGCTGAAGTGGCGCCAAACGACAGTCGGCGGCGGTTGCGCGAGTCGATGAAACATTTGAATTCACTGGAATTCAGTATCGCGAAATCTCACTTCCGCAAATCGCATCCACTGCGCGTCATTCTTTCACGGGAAATCTCGAGGGAAATCTATCAAACATCGCCATCTTATCGCTGAAAATGGGCAAACGATGTTCCCAAAGCTCGGATTTTAATGGGAGTGTCCAGTAAATATTGCGGAGTCTTCGCGAAGCCGCTCTAGTCACACACTAGCAATGCTCGCTAAAAGCGTGATTTTACTCTTCCTGGGCGCAAGCTTGGCCGCGGTTTCAGAGGAAGTCCGCAAGCCAACCTGCAACGACGCCATTTCCGATGACTACATTCAGCATCCCGAGTCTTGCAATCGCTACTACCGCTGCGTCAATGGGCAGATCCACGATTTCGCCTGTCCCTTCGGCATGCACTGGTCGCAGGGCGACAAGAGGTGCATCTTCGAGTCCCAGTCGAGCTGCAGGGTAAGCTTTTCCTTGACAGTGCTGGAGAGAGACGGAAGTGACGATCTGATTTTCCCGCCCAGATAAACTTTCCGAACCTGCCGGACTTTCCGGACTGGCCGCCTTGGGAACCGACTGAGGCTCCGCCAAACACGCCCCCGACCGCTGCTCCGCACTGCATTCCGGGCGTGATGGTGGCCTGGCCGGACAACCACAATTGCCAACGCTTCTACCTGTGCATCGAGGGCGACATGTGGCACATGTGGTGTCCGCCCAACACGCGCTTCGACTACATGACCCGTCGCTGCGATCCCAATGGCGTCTGCGTTCCCGGAGCAGTTCTGGGCCTCGAAGGGTTCTGATTCAATAAACACACAACTTTGCTAGGTGAAAAACTCTGATTTATTCAGCGAAGAAGGTTACATTAGGGACTCAACGGATGGTCTTGATGCGCTTCCAGCACTGCGCATTGCTGGGATAGTCGCAGTACTTCATGTTGTCGTTCCAGTGCGTCCCTGTGGGGCAGTTCTGGGGAATGGGGCGCCCGTTGAGGCACTTGAAGAACTTGGTGCAGTCGCTCGTGTCCGCCAAGTGCGTGGGGGTCTGCGGATTCTCGTTTGGCGGACAGAAGCCAGCCGGCGAGGGTTGGTGTCCGGGTTGTCCGGGCTGGTTCATCGGCGGCTCCGGGATTGAGGGGTAGTTGGGTACGTGGGCGCAGTGCACGGACTGCTCCCAGTTGCAGGACAGCGTGTTGGTGTCGAAGAGCAGCCCGTGGTCGCAGTTGTGCCTCACGGGACGTCCGTTCTCGCAGCGGAAGTAGCTGCGACAGTTGCTCTGCGGATCCACGAAGTACTGCCAATCCTTGCCATCGCACTTGGGCAAGATCTCCCAGTCGGACGCCACGGCGGACGCCACGCAGACACTCAGCACGATCAACCACTTCATTTCTCACTCTGCCTTTTGTCACCAATTCTGATCCACCTTCCGGGAATCGCGGGTCTTTTATAAGATTGCAAGAGGTGAAAAATGCCCATTTCTTCTTCTTCTCTGTCTCATTTCCACACTTTTCTGTGTCATATCCATTCAATTACATCAATTAGCAATAGTATCAACACACAAAGCATTTGAGTCGCCGCACTTTATCAAATTAAATCTCTGGCCGGCGTCGCGGAAGTCTTACAGCGTGTACAAAGTGAAGTCGTCCATGTGAGACTTCTTCGCAGTGGCATCTTGGCCGGCCTTCTCGGCCTCCACGCCGCTCGGCTGGCCGCCTCCCATCGCCTCAGCAGCAGTCTTGGACTCGTTGAGAAGCTGAAAGCGAGACAAATTAATCCTCTTGTCGATGCAAGAATGCAAACTCGCCAATGCTCACTTTCGCCCTCATTCGCTTGATCTTCCGCAATCTCTCCAGCCAATTGGACGCGTAGGGTCCTTGTCCTTTGTTCTTCAGACTCTTGGAGACCAGCGAGGCGAGCTGCAATGAAAAGGATGCAAAATTTCAGTCGAAATCCCATTGAAAACCAAATGAAAATCGAAGAAAAAGACTCACATTTGCATGCAGCGCGAGCTGCCTGGCGAGGAGCGGAGCGCTGGAGTCGCTGACAATCTTCGGCTCCGAGTAGGCGACGTAGTCCTTGATGTCCTCCTTGGCCCTCACGTACACGCGGCAGCTGTTGAGCTCCAGCGGCTCCACAATCACGCTGGCATAGTTGTACTGGCACTTGATGGTGTTGAGATTGTACTCTTCGCCACTCTCGTTGTACACAATGCTCACGAAGTCATTGCCGATGTGCTTCTTCTTCTCCGTGCAATTCGGATCTTGCTCCTTGTTCGGCATCAGCGTGGCCACATGATAAACCACCTGCACAATGTCATCCTGCCAGATGTACGTAAATTGGCCATCCGCCATATCCAGATCGATGTACAAATTGTGCTCCTTCGCATCCTTGATGGACACAAGTGTGCCCAAGTTGCGCAGGAATTCCGCATAGCGGAAGGAGCCGAAGCGATTCTTCAGCATCTCAGTCTCATTGTTGCACTGACCCGGACCCACGTACAGCACGCCAATCTTGTGCGTCTCAAATGGCGGAATCAAGTCCAGCAGCGCGATCGCCTTGGCATTCGTCGCGTCCACTCTCAGCGGCCTCTCCGTCACATTCAGCTGCAGCTGCCCGGTGTGATAGAACTGCAGCAGGACGAAGCTGGGATTGATGCCCGATCGATTGACACTCGACGCGGGCGCATCGCGCCGCGGCGCAGCGCTCGGTGTGGTCGTGGCGCCGCGCAGTGTGTACTTGAGGGCGTCGCGCGAGTAGTGCTCCCTGACCACGGAGATCGTCTTGGATCTACCGCGCGGCAGATCGCCCACGTCCGCGTAATTCCCACCGCCGGTGGATCCAAACGGGCCCACCGACGTCCCGGCAATCTTGTTGGCCGCATTGCGCGCCAGCAAGCGCGGCGACAGCGGCACCGGCGATTGTGGTGGCTTCGCCGTCACCTTCTGCCCGTCAATCGGCAACTTCAGATTCATCGTTCCCGGATCACACTTCACCTGCGGCTGCGGCGGCGGCTGCACCGCATCATCTGCGGAGTGTTGCTTCCGCGGTGGCTCCGCCGTGACAGCTTCGGGTATCATGAGATCGCCACCCTCATTCGTCACAGATCCCACAACACTCGGTGGCGTGGAGCCGGCCATCTCCTCCGGAATGGCCTCGCAACTCACCCTCATATCCTTGCCATAGGCGCTCTTCTTCTTCTGCTGACTCGACTCCACTTGCAGCGCCGGCGTCGTCTCCTCCTCGTTCGCCTTGTCCGCCGCTTGTGCGCCGCCTTGAGACACCGCGGCGCCACTCTTTTGCCCACTCAAGAAGGGATTCCGCCAGTTGGAACTCATCTCCGGGCTGGAATTCACGCGCCTCACCGGATTCCTCGATCGCGAGTCACTGTCCTGAAACGCCACATCATCACCATCCGGATCGTGGTCACTGAAACTCCCCGACTCGCTGACCTTCTGCAGTTGCTTGGGAATATCAATAGGGCCCGTGGTGGCGGCCAAGGAGACTCCACTCTGCGACACTTTCTCCTCCTCCTCCTGATGCTGCTGTTGCTGCTGCTCCTCGACGCGCCTCTTCGCCAGCTCCGCCATCTTCGGATGCACTCTCTCCGACGTCTCCTCCTGCACCTGCGGCGACGCCATCGACGCCATGAACTCCCCGCCCATCACACTGCCCCCAATTGAGGGCATAAACAGACTGGTGAGATCGTGCAGTGGCAAATCATTGGCATACGAGTCCGCGCCAATCTGATTCTGTATCCTCATCACCCACGATGTGCATCCCGTGGGCCTTCTGATGCACACCTCCGCCCATCCCGTGCACGAGCACGCGCACGTCTGTCGCGGCCGATCCACACTCGATTGCGGCGTCGTCATTTGCGGTATCGAGATGCCCGATGAGGAGATGGAGATGGGATTCTCCAGCTTCCCCACTGGACCATCTGACGATTCCGTGTCCGGATTGCTGCCGCGCCTCGACAGAGCCTCCAAGCTGCCCGAGCAGCTGCTGTAGCGACCATCCGAGGAGCTCTGGCGGAAGAACTTCTGCGGCTGCTGAGCCGAGAAGGGCGTTGCAGCCGATGACGAGGAAGTCGACGACGTGAAGTCACAGCTCTCAGACTCCTGAGCACTGGAAAATGCACACACGAAGCGTCATTAGAAAGTGCACTCAAGGAGTGCTTTTGCATCAGGAAAGTGTAAGAATTAAAGGATCAAGATTATCACTGATATTTTTGGGCAAATTTTCAAACATTATTTTTCAGTGAAAGAAGTGCAAAATATTAAGTAAATTCATGCTTTTCATTAAGCCAAAGTGGGTGGTTTTTGCGGGGCAAAGAAAGTGCATTTAAGGGAGAATATCGCATAATTCCTTCACACCTGCTGTGCTGAAGACTCGCTTTGGTATACCTTTTATTGGGCTGCAACTCTGCGGCGCTGTCGCGCAACTCCTGCGACACACTCGTGGCCTCTGAGCGCCCTTGGGCGCCTCTGCACGCCAAATTGCACCTGTCGCACAGTCCATTGCGCAGCGGACTCGTGGAGCAGCCGCTGGTCGTGATGGTGACCAAATTGTGGCCAATCAGCCACGTGACCGTCTGCCCGCCAGCCAGCAGGAAGTCCGCCGACGGCATGCGCTTGGGCATCACCGAGCACGAGCTGTACGTGTAGCGCGCCATGAAGTCAATGCACGTCTCGGCCAACTCCATGTGAAACTGATACAGCGCATCGTCAATCAGTGGCTTGAGATCCACCTTGGCGCGCCTCTGCTTGCGACTGCCCTGCTCCGTGAGACTTGAGCTGCGCTTCCTGTTCGACGAGTCCTCATTCACGGGCGTAAAGTCCATCTTCGCCTTGATCTCCTGGAATGTCATGTGGATGTGCGACTCCAGGCCAGCCAAAATGTACTTCACGAACGTATTGCGCAGACACAGGCGACACTTGAGGAACCACGCCGCGATCACGTGATGCGCCAGCGACACTGTGTAGTGATCATAGCGATAGGGATTCGTGTAGGGCAGCGCAATGGCGAAGAAGCACATATATTGGCGCTGCACGAAGTTGGCAAAGCGATGATTTGGCAATCGGCTGAGCGCTGAAAGTAGAAAGACAACAATTTAAGCCCCTTAAAATTCCCTTAAGATTGTTTTGAGTGTGTACTCACTCGAGAGAAACTCCAGCACAGGAATCGCCACGGCGGTTGTGTTTGATATCTTGCTCATCTCCAGCAACACTTCCGGTGCATATCTGAGAAACGTGTCGGGAATCTCGAGCGTCATGAGCGTGAGTGCGTGCACGCAGACGCGCGGATTGCGACAGAACAGTCCCAGCTTCAGCACATCAATGATGCTCTTCAGCGTTCGCGTGTCCAGATACTGATGATAAGTGATCAGCGCCGCAATGGCGGGCAGTACGAGCAGATGGAAGTCAGACAGTGAGGGCTTTCCAGCCGTAGAAATGTATCCATCGACGATGCTCTTGTTGCCATAGAGAATGTTGAGACTCCTGGCCAGACTGTCCACATCATTGCCCACAATCAGCGCCTTGTTCTGCAGAATGTTGGGTAATTCTTTCAGCACCAGCTGCATCACTGCCCAGTCTCTCTCCATGTCCAGACACCGCACGATCACCTTGCAGCCGCGCCGAATGGAGATGGCCGTGGCATGAGTGCCGCCCACCGCCACGTCCGCCTGCACGAGCGGCTGCGGAATGGAGATCTGCAGCGGCTGCTTGGCGTCGATGCTGAGATAGTGGCTGTAGCGCATTGCGCCGCCCTTGGCACTCGGATAGCCCAGCTGGAAGGCGCCGTTGCAGCGCGCGTCCAGCATCCACTTGAAGATCTGCATGCGCACCGCGTTCAGCGTCTCGAAGACGCGCGGATTGTCATAGTGCGTCTCCAGGTGGCCCACCAGGAGGTAGAAGATGCGAATGGCGTGGATCGACGGCAGGCGGTAGAGCTTCACGAGGAACGTGCGGATCAGACCCTCCACCAGCGACAGCAGATCCTGAATCTCCGCCTCCACGAGCCTCACCGTGGGATCGTGCACCTCGAACGGCCGATTCATCAGTCTCTCCACGATGTCCAGCAACTCCAGGCATCGCTTGCTGTCGCAGTGCAGAGTGAAGTCAATGAGGAGCTTGGCAGCCGTTGATCTCACCTGAAAACCAAGACAGAAATCTCACAATCAACTGGGCAACAGAGCAATTTGAGCGGATTTGCAACTCACCACCACATCAGACTCCTGATGGATGTTGCTGAAGTTGGGAATGACGATGCGCTCCAGAATCTCCTCCTCATACGCCGCCCTGTTGATGTCCATGATCTGAATGAGTGACACGATCGCCTTCACGCGGATGTTCGTCTTCCTGTTCTGCCTGTAGAAACGCTCCATGAACACACTGAGCGCCTGCAGCCACTTGGGCCGCGACGCCGAGATCCTGCTGGCACGATACTCGATCAGATTGAAGACCGACGCCTCGGATCTGTCGTCCGCCACCTTCTCGATCAGATTGTAGATCATGTCGGCATTGGCGTTGATCTCGTGCCTCCGCAGTTTCATCTCCACATCATCGAGAGTCTCGTGGAAGATCTTGCTGACGCAGTTGCTGCGCGGCGCTCCGTCTCTGTCATAGTGCGCCATGTTGTCCGCCAGGGCGTCCATGATCTGGCACAGTGTGTCCCAGGCTGGCTCCGTCAGCTCCGCGCCGCTGCGCTGTATGAGACGCTGAATGCTGAGCGCCACCTCGAAGCTGACGATGAAGTGGCGCGAGCGCAGCACGCGCAGGAAGCTGAGCAGCACGGTGGACGGTGAGCAGCGCAGGGCGGGCGCGGCGGGGCCCCAGAGGCCCATGTTCGTGTGGAACACCGCGCCGCGCAGCAGCACCTCGTCGTCGTACACGGCGGGGTCGTTGAGGTAGTTGCACATCATGCAGAGCGCGGCGTAGCCGAGATCTGTGCCGAGGAGGGTGCGCATGATCTTCCACGAGGTCTGGCAGAAGGCCTCCCTGTTCACTGTCTTGCACAGCGCCACGATGCACAGATTGAGCGTCTCGAAGGGGAAGATGGCGTAGGACATGATGGTCTCCAGCACGGTGAGGCACTGGAGCACCGTGCGGTCGTCCTCGAGGCAGCAGCTGATGAAGCAGGACTGCTTCACGATGCCCACGGTGACCTCGTTGTCCAGGTACGCCGCGTTGTACTTGATGATGTTGATGAGGATGTCCAGGTACGTCTCCATCAGGCGCGCGTCCATAATCGCCTGGCACCACTGCACCATGAAGCGCCCGATCTCCGCCTCGAAGTACGAGATGTCCTTGCCATCCTCCGTGAGTGCGCGCAGCAGCTCCAGCCGGTAGCCAATGTCCTCCGGCACGGCGTGATTCTGGATCACGCGGAAGAACTGCGCCCGCATGAGATGCAAATTGGGGAATTGCGTGCTGATCAGCTTCCTGTAGAAGGCGAACGCCGTCTGGCGCTGCTCCTGTGGCCGATTGGCCACGATCAGGTCACTGGTGAGCTCCCACAGCTTCTTCAGCGAGCTGTCCTCCAGCCGGCACTTCTTCAGATCCTCCCCCAGCTCGCGCAGGATCTTGCAGCGCTGATTCACGGGCGTCTCCGGCCGCAATTCGCGCTCAATCTCCGGCGTCAGCGAGAAGTCCGACTGCTGCTGAAGTCCGCCACCTGGCGCCTTGGTGCTCTTGAAGAACTGCTTCAGCTTCTGCATTCGCGTCTCCTTCGACATCTTTGCACGCACGCCGACGCCAAACTAAGCCGCCAACAAAGACAAATGGCCCCCGCGAGGATCGCACTTCCCGACACACTTTCGCGGCGCTACTCACGACGTTCACAACACAAAACACACTGCCAACGTGCTCACGGTGCCACGGAGAGTGCTTAGCAGTGATAAAAAGTGAAAAGGAGTGGGTAAAAAAGAGATTTTCAGCAGATTTTCTCCTGCTATTCAACTTCGTCGCACAAAAAGAACGGAGAATGAAAAAAACTGTAATCTGACAGTCAGCTGTTTCCGGAGTGGGATTCGGAGTGGCGCTGTGAGTCGCGCAAAGAGCGCTTCTGCGCTGCCAATTTCATCGAATTCGCGCTCCTCACCCAAATAATAAACCGTTAAATTAGATTTATTTATTTTTGTACCATTTCTTCACTGTTTTGCTGTCTTTTTCCTTGAGAACGCCAATGTTAAGTGACATTTTCCCACCAACATTTTTCCCGCCAGGCCAGATGGCGCCGCAATCTCATCGACGCGAGAACTTCTTGCGACACTCGCGCGTGGTGCTGCTGTCTCTCATCGATTGTTTGTGTTTTCATCTAAGGATTGGCGTCGCGAGTTTTTTCAGTGGTTTTTCTGAGTGTTTTTCGTAACGTGTGCGTGCGTGCGTTACCAATGGCCAATCCCAGTGAGATCGACTGCGTGACAGTGATTAGTGATGACTCTGACGTTGAAGTGACTCTGAGTGAGATCACAATTACTCGAATCCCGGCGAAACCGCGCACTTCTTTCGTCCCGACGGGTTCGGAGGAGCCTGTGGCCCCCGTGGGGACACCGCAAACGCCCCAGACTGAGCCTCGCGAGGAGGGCGACGGCCGGCGCATGAGTCGCCGCAAGAAAGCGCGGGTAAGTGGCAGAAATGGGAAAGTGTGGTTATGTGGCTAATGCCGGTGTTTTTTTCTGCCGTTTCTGCTCCCGCCAGGTCGAGTACTTCGGCGAGGGCGCTTCCGGGAGTGCTGAGAGCAAGACTGGGGCTGCCGGGGAGGCGAAGCGCGTGGAGCCGAAGCCCGAGCAGCGAACGAGAGGCAAGCGAGAGCGCAGCGTGAGTCCCTCGAAGGACTCTGATAGCAAGGATGCGTTGGATGACGAGCCCAGCTTCAAGGACATCCTCACTGGACTCGAGGGAGCGGCCTTCCAGTCGCGGCTGCCGTACGAGAAGATGACCTCGGCCGAGGCGGCGTGTTTTCCGGTCATCGCGAAGAATGGTTTAATCGCCCAGAGAGTCTTTCTCAACATCCGCAATCGCTTGCTTCAGATGTGGATTGAGAATCCCAAGATTCAGTTGACCTTCGAGGAGGCTCTGAAGAATATCGAGTCCCCGTTCGACAGCGATCCGGTATTGCTGAAGAACATTCACGCCTTCCTCGAGCGCCATGGATTCATCAATTTCGGGATTTTCAAGCGTCTGCGGCCGATTCCGGCCAAGAAGCTGGCCAAGGTGATCGTGATTGGGGCGGGCATCTCGGGATTGGCTGCTGCGCAGCAGCTGCAGCAGTTCGGGATGGACGTGATCGTGCTGGAGGCGAGAGATCGCGTCGGCGGTCGCATCGCCACGTTCCGGAAGAATAACTATCACGCTGATCTGGGCGCGATGGTGGTCACGGGCATCTGGGGCAATCCCATCACCATCCTCAGCCGTCAGACGGGCATGGAGATGGTGCCCATCAAGCAGGCTTGTCCGCTGTATGGCGCCGGAGGGAAACCGGTGCCGAAGCACAAGGACGACATGGTCGAGAGGGAGTTCAATCGACTGCTGGAGTCCACCAGCTATCTGTCCCACCAGCTGGACTTCAACTACGCCGGGAACAATCCTGTGTCTCTCGGCCAGGCGCTGGAGTGGATCATCAAGCTCCAGGTAAAGCAATTTTCAGCGTCCATTCGCTTCTCGTAAGAGAAGAATTTCCAGTTCAATTTGGGACGAATTTGTCTGATAAAAAGTTGCTTTTGCAGTTATAAGAACTTCAGAAGCTTCTTTTGAGTGTTTTAGACATTAATTGCTTGTACATTATTTAAAGCTTGATCCTTTCTTTCTGCTCAAGGAGAAACACGTGAAGGAGAAGCAAGTGCAGCACTTGAACTCCGTGATTGCGCTGCAGCAGAAGCTGATTGACAATGAGAACAAGATCGGCGATCTGATGGACGAGATGCGAATGCTGAAGGCCAAGGCGAACTTCCTGCAGGAAACGCGGCCGCCGCGCACGCCCGAGACGGAGCATAAGTACGTTGAGCACGAGTTCAGTGCGCGTCAGGCCGTGCGTGAGTGGAATGTGGTGTGGCGCGAGGTGGAGCGCTTCAAGGCCACGCAGGAGGAAATGGAGGCGAAGCTGAAGGAGCTGGAGATGAATCCGCCGAGCGATGTCTATCTGTCGTCGAAGGATCGCCAGATTCTCGATTGGCACTTTGCCAATCTCGAGTTTGCCAACGCAACGCCGCTGAACAACTTGTCGCTGAAGCACTGGGATCAGGACGACGACTTCGAGTTCATTGGGAATCACACAACAGGTGAGATTTTTCCTCCCAAAGTGCTGTTAAGTTGTTGTGAAATACTTTGGACAGCTGCAAGTCGATGGAGTTTTCGTGAAATCTCAGAAATTCCTCACTGGACTTTTCACACAAGCAATCTCTTATGAATATTTTGCACAATATTTCCCTTGATGAAAACAGGGGGGAAAATATTGCGCTGCTGGAATTTGCAGACGTTTTATTTGATCATTTTTGCCTTCGCGAATTTATAATGAAGACACCCGATTATGCGAGGAACGCGAGTTGAAGGAAAATATTTGCAAGTGAAATTCTTTTGTGCTTTTTCAGTCATGTAAGAATGTATTATTTTTCGCACAGAATCTCTATTGATTTCAATAGATTGCCTTTCTTGGTGATGAAATTGCCAATTAAACATCACGTGATTGTTGTCACCCAAAACAGGCGAATTTTCCCTGTGTAACAACATTTGTGAACAACATACGAGAATTGTCGCTCGTTGTTGATTAGAGAAGAGTGGATTTTATTGTAATTTATGGATGTTAAGAGGGGGTTTTTAGTGTGAAAAATAATCTGATCCGCACTGATTTCGCAAAAATTCTGTAATTTAAATCTGAAACTATTCTATCTAAGATTCTGACTTTTGCTTCTGCTTCCTTCACTCCAATGCGGTAAGTCTTTGCGCTGAGAGTGCTTGAAAGTGTTGCCAGAGGAATTGAACCTATTTTATTGGATCAAATCAGGAGTTAGTCATTTCATGCCACTTTCCTTTTATTGCTCTTCAATTACTGTGAGCACTTGTAGCCTAATGACATCGCAGATGTGAATAGATGTGTGCGAAATCCTCATTGTAGCCAATTAAGTTCGTGACTGGGTCTTCTAAGACACGTGGCGTCACGAAATGTCGCTCTTTCCGTTTCTATAACTCCGGATAGTCTTCAATTTAGACTATTTCCCATTCCAGTTGTGAACAATACTGAAGAGTTTGTATCGGAAATGGTCGAAAAGGTTCAATAGGAAAAACATCGTCACTTTGTTAAGGAAGAAATATTGTTAAAAATATAGTTTTTGTCTGGATTTGAACTCATAACATTGCCGATGAGACGTTTATTAACTGTCTTCTGCATTCCGCCCACTGCTTAGTGCCTTCCTTCTGGGCTTTTCTCACATGCAATTGTTCCACAATGCGGAGAACATTTCCTTCGGGGGACAAAATTTAATTACACAACGTTTGCTGCGGACAATAATGAACCCAGCGCGCGCGTGTGTGTGTGTTTGAGGTGTTTTCTGGTTGATTTTGATTCATGCTATAGGGTTTAGGATTTTCCCACATTTTAAAATACACTTTGGCACACCGGGTGGTTTAATTCTCTGTTGGCCTTCTATGGCTGCACGAGCGCAAGAAGTCTTGTTGGGAGACAATGAGAAAGTCTTTTCTCCCTCCTTCACAAAGTACGTGATTTCATTTTGGCTCGATTGTCGCTCCGGATGGAAAATCTGCTGTATTTCAAAACCGCTTTTGTTGTGGGCTTTCCGTCCCTCCGCCTTCCGTAAGATGAAGGCAGGAGGGAAAAAAAAGTCACTGCAATCGCGTGTGTGGGTTATTTTATAGCCCACCTCTAAACACTTAATACTTTTCGATCGTTAAAAGGTGATTTTTTTCTCTCTTTCTCTCTTCTGGGTGGCGAAGAGAAGTTCGCTATTGTTGCAGGAAAGCGCGCGATGGGTGGTAAATTGAAGGAATTCACTGGAAAATGCATTGTTGATTTTTTTTTCTCCAATCTTCATTACACTTTTTGCCTGTGACAATTAATTAAGCAAGGAGAAAAATTTGATACTTTAAGAATTATTTCCCTATTTGCTCACTTTTCAGCATGTTGAGAGGGAAAAATGCGGAAAAATGATGGGGAATAATTTTGTGAAAACAGCAGAAAATCACAATTTCTCCTCATTAATTCATGTTGTATTTTCCTCGCGGGTTGCTTTTTGTAATATTGCGAAGAAGGAAAGCGGAAGATTGGAATAGAAAAATGATGCTTTTGCTATCATTTGCATTATTCAATTGTTTGTTGTTTCAAAGCTATGGAAAAACAGATGGAGAAAAATTGTGAGGTGAAATGAAGCATTTTCCTAAAAAAAAATATATATATATCTTGGAAATATTTGTTGAGTTTTTGTGCTTGTTTGACTTGTAAATTGATGTTTTGGGTGAATATTGTGGTTGGAGAATTGTTCTAAATTCAGGTTAGAATTCTTATTTTCTGACTTAATTAATTGCAAGCGAGTGTTTCGCTAAAACTTCCGTGGATGAAATGTTGATTAAATGTAAAGCTTGGCTTTTAAAATTTTGCAAGTTGCCAGCAACCATGCAAACGAATAATGACCACTGAGTTCTGGCTGGACAGCGAGAGAGAGAGAGAAGCGATGCAAATATGCTGTTGAGCGAGCGCGGAAAAGCTGCTGGGTGGGCGAGAGCAGCGGAAGGGGTGGCAAAAAATGTAAACACTGCTCCCTTATCGCATCATTTATCAGCAAATAAAGTGCACAATGTTCATGTTTGGACAGCGAACTGCATTCCGGCGTCTCTGGTGGACTATTTGCGATATGGCGCAATTTTTTCCGGCCCCCAGAATCAAGCCTCTATTAGAGTTCTCGTTCTTTAAAGCCCCCCCCCCCTTTTTTTAGGTTTGCAGTGAGAGAATCGATTTTCCTGGCTGTTGAATGGCTTGAATGATTGCACACAATCTTGCGATGATGGATTAAAAGTCCGGCATTTGCAGAAGAGTGTTTAAGTGTGCAAATTTCTGGATCATCACATTCATTTATCATGCGATGGAATTAATTGTCTACTTGTGATATTGTCAAGGATTTGAAGTGAAGGGGCCAAAAGGGATGTTTGTCTGTCAATATTCCAAGTATTTTAATTAATTGCTCAGCCACGATGTGCTTAGAATCCCATGCGGTGGCCACAATCGTCCCCCTTCTATTCACCTCCACCTTAATGATATTCACGTCTGCGGCAGTGTTGGATGATAAATATCCACCACCGATGAACTCTGCACACTCTTATTATCAATTAGAAAGTTTATATTCGTGCGAAGAGCGCGACGGCTTGTGGGGGTTTGAGAAGTGATCCCGGAAGGATTATCTCCACAACTTTTGCAATTTTCATCCGATTAATTGGCAAAATGTCAAGTTGAGAGTATAATAATAAAATTCACTCCTTGATTGAGTAATTAATTGATGGGTAATTGAGGTGTTGTGGCAATTGATTTAGTGAGCTACGCGTGTGATACAGTAAATATCCACTCAGTTCGTTGCACTTTTGGGTGGACAAGGCAAAAATTTATACCTTGAAAATGTGTCCAGAAAGTGTGAGGCAATATCGACAATGCTGGCAATACATAATCCGCATTATTTTCTATAAGCTCCTTAATTAAATAAATCTACCAAGCAGAGAGCGACAGAGAGTGAGAGGGAAAACCCCCTTCGCGGGAGAAAAATGGGTGTGAAAGTGCAGGAGATGAAAATGAGGGAGAGAATGCGGGAGAGACAACGTGACAATAAAATGTGGGATTATGTATTTAAAACGGCATAGAAATACACACAGAAATAGTAAAACATGGTGTTAGATAGACACATAAATACATATTTATGTGCCATTATCATTAATAAATATCCATAAATCAGAATCACCGCACAACAACAGCTCAAACATCCCTAATCTGATAATAATTTACCAAAATATTTCCACACAAAATTAGACAAATATTAATGCGTGCGATGTACAAGTGTGGCGCCCACATTTGACCACTCTCTGTGCCATAGATAAATTCCGGGCAGATTACTCAGCGAGAGAGAGAGGGAAAAAGGAGGAAACACGGTCTCTCAGGCACGACGAAAGGCAAATTGCTACTGTTAGAAGACACTCGCGGTGAAATTAGAATTGCAAGAGAGATGATAATCGCGTCGTAATATCTGGTTAGCGCTAAGTGAGAACCTATTGTCAATAAGGTGGTGATATGCGCCTGGGCTTCATTATATTCATATAAAGATGAAAAATGTGCGAGTTCTTGCCCGAAAAGTAGTCATTTTGCGAGAGTCGCAGAGGAGTTGCCGTGTGATAAGTATCAAAATGTGTGGCAAAGTTGAGGAGTATCGCGGAAGTAATAAATCAAAAAGTGCAAAAGAACAAACTTGACAGTAGCTCTCTGTGGTGATTAGATAAAGACCATGTTCCATCCATTCCTTCTTGTCCTTGTTGTTCCATCTGTGCTAAATTTCACTCCGTCAGATAGTAAAACACTCGGAGAAATCTGCATTTTTGCCATGCAGATAATTTTAGTTGACACTAGAAAGCACTTTTTGGCCACAGTGGCCAAATTTAGAGGCGTAGAAAATTTAAAAAGATTGAATAAGGTTAGGTTAAGGTTCAAAATGCACTTAAGTCAAGCCGTAAAAAGTCACGTTGAGTCGTGAAAAATCACTTATCTATAAAGTTTTCCGACAGAACTGCTCTGAATTGGCCAGACTGGCCAGGTTGTTCACACAAAGCGTGAATTTATCATTTGCTTTTCACTTCCTTTATCGTGTAATTTTTCTCTGAGTGCAGAAAATGGAGCAAGTCTTCTGAATTGCGACTATCTTGAACTGCTTTCTGTGACTTGGTTGCATAGAGATTTCAATAAATCAACTCAATGCTTCACAGCCAATCTTCAGCTGCTTCTTCGTCATGCTGAGGAACGCGCATATGAATAATTATTGTTGCAATTTTGCCATTAATGTATTATTTACATACAAATGATGATTATCATCGCATCGGAAAGTTCTTTTGCCACTTTGTGCATTCGAACAAATTGCACCGAAGAGTTGCGCGACTTCTTCCAGACAATCCACGGTCAAATACATTCCAGCCACAGATGAGGAATTGCAATGAAGAACATTGCGCGACTGTGGCGCAATAGACAGGCAAATTTATAAGGTAGTAATTGTGTAATTAAATTATAATTATAGTTTATGAG